TAGTTGCAGTTGCATTTGTGGTGGTGACATGAGTGTAGCGTACTGTAATGTAGGGTAGTGTGGTGTTACTGTAGCGTAATGTAGTGCAATGTAGCGTAGCGTAGTCTAATGTAATTAGTGATGTAGTGTAGTGTAATGTAGTGTAGTTGTAGTTGTTGTTGTCGTTGTAGGTGTAGTTGTAGTTGTGGTTGTAGTTGTAGCGGTAGTTATAGCGTAGTGTAATGTAATTGAATGTAGTGTAGCGCAGGGAAGTGGACTGTAGTGTAGTGTAATGTAGTGTGATGTAGTGTAATTGTAGTTGTACTTGTAGTTGTAGTAATAGTAGTAGTAGTCGTCGTAGTAGTAGTAGTAGTAGTAGTAAAAATAGTAGTAGTAGTAGTAGTAGTTGTAGTTGTAGTAGTAGTAGTAGCAGTAGCAGCAGCAGCAGCAGCAGGTGTTGTTGTTGTTGTTGTTCTGTTGTTAGTAATTATAGTGTAGGTGTACTTGTAGTTGTAGTGGCAGTTGTAGTTGTAGGTAGTGTAGCGTAGTGTAATCTCGTGTGGTGTAGTGTTACTGTAGTGTAATGTGATGTAGTGTAGTGTAGTGTAATGTACTTAGTGTAGCGTAGGGTAATGTAGTGTAGTTGTAGTTGTAGTGGTAGTTGTAGTTGTAGAATGTAGTGTAGTGTAGTGGAGTGTAGTGGTTGTAGTTGAAATTGCGCAAATGCGCGCACGTTTTGCTCACTTTTGGCGCAAAACAGCATCCGAACGTCCAAAAGTGCACTGAACCCTTCAGTTTTTTCCACTTTTGACTTGGAAATGTGCTTTGCACCACAACGGCGTGCACTTTCTCGACGTCTCAACTTCAAAAAGTGTTCCGAACCTGGTGTCTGCTTGCACATTTTGACTTGGAAATGTGCTTCGCCCCACAATGGGTGCATTTCTTCATCAGCTCAACTTCCAAAAGCGGTCCGAACGTGAGGTGTTTTCTGCATTTTGACATCGAAATCTGCTTTGCGCCACAGCGGCGTGCACCTTTTGGTTATCTCAACTTCTAAAAGTGCTCCGGAGCCAAGGTGTTTTGTACATTTTGACTTCGAAATGTGCTTCGCGCCTTAACGGCGTGCAATTTTTCATCTCTCATCTGACCAGATGTCTCCGCGCCCGCCGTTTTAGCGAGCCAACTTTTCGACCCTCCGGAGCCAAAAGCCAATGGAACAAACACAGTGAAACGTTTTTTTCCAACTTCTTAGCCCACCTGCATCTTCTTTCTTCTGACTCGTTCTCTTCTCTGATCTTCTCTCCTTCTTCTCCTCTCTTCTTTGACTCTTCCCACCTCTGCTTTTCCATCTCTCCGTGTTGTCGGAAGTTTGACTTCTAAATTTCCTTTGGGCAATGCGTATACGTGAATTTTAGTGTGACGGTGTCCGGTCGGATGATTTTGTATGCAGTCGACCCGATCTGCCATTGCCAAGATCAATGGCTGATGCTTCAGGACCTCACAGCACTGTTTTTGCCACTTCTTGTGGGACATCACGGTGTTTGACTGGCGACATGTGCAATCCTGTTGCTGACCGTCCAGCGGTGTGGCCCTGGCTGCTTGCCGCGAACACGCGGCTTTCGAGCGCCAACTTTACTTTTAAGTGTTTCCTGTCCGGCTGACCATCCTTGAGCATACCGCTCCTCTCCGCCAGATTGGCAAGGCTTGCAGAAATTCCATGAAGGCAAAAACTTTGTTGTGCTTTGCTCAGGGTTTGACATTTTCGAGCCTCAGAATTTGCATCTAGCGAATCTAGCAATTTTTCTTGGGATATTTGTACTTATGTGTATGTCTTTTAACAGACCAAAAATGGTCGCAAATGGACGCATTCAGAACTAGAAAAACATTCCACGAGTTATATTTACATCGTGTCGTTCTAGAAAACGATTCACAGTGCTGGAGTGTCACTGGGGCAGATCAGTGGAATGTTGGAATAATTTTGATGTCCATAGCAAAAAATAGCAACACTTTGCCTGCGGAGAAAAGAATGGAAGTCATGAATTCGACACCGCAGTTCTCAACCAGTTGGAAGCCGCTGAAAGCCCAGTCTTGTGGTTGGCAACAAAGTAGAGATGATTCTACCAACCAGTTTGAGGCTCTTCGGACTCTTTTCTCTCTGGGCTTTTGCAAGCGGCAAACTTCCTATCTCTTTGAGTTGTGCATTACTAGATGATTTCTGATTGACAGCCGATTGCTTGTAAAATGCAAGATATGATTATCTATGACTGTTGCTTCTTGTTGCTTATATTTACTGGATCATCCAAAGTTTGGTCAGGGAAGTCTTCAGAACTTCAACTTGATGAACCTAAACTTTTGTGCAAGAATGACACTAGCTGGATTATTGACTAGTTGACTTTACATCGTGGGCAATGCGTATACGTGAATTTTAGTGTGACGGTGTCCGGTCGGATGATTTTGTACGCAGTCGACCCGATCTGCCATTGCCAAGATCAATGGCTGATGCTTCAGGACCTCACAGCACTGTTTTTGCCACTTCTTGTGGGACATCACGGTGTTTGACTGGCGACATGTGCAATCCTGTTGCTGACCGTCCAGCGGTGTGGCCCTGGCTGCTTGCCGCGAACACGCGGCTTTCGAGCGCCAACTTTACTTTTAAGTGTTTCCTGTCCGGCTGACCATCCTTGAGCATACCGCTCCTCTCCGCCAGATTGGCAAGGCTTGCAGAAATTCCATGAAGGCAAAAACTTTGTTGTGCTTTGTTCAGGGTTTGACATTTTCGAGCCTCAGAATTTGCATCTAGCGAATCTAGCAATTTTTCTTGGGATATTTGTACTTATGTGTATGTCTTCTAACAGACCAAAAATGGTCGCAAATGGACGCATTCAGAACTAGAAAAACATTCCACGAGTTATATTTACATCGTGTCGTTCTAGAAAAAGATTCACAGTGCTGGAGTGTCACTGGGGCAGATCAGTGGAATGTTGGAATAATTTTGATGTCCATAGCAAAAAATAGCAACACTTTGCCTGCGGAGAAAAGAATGGAAGTCATGAATTCGACGCCGCAATTCTCAACCAGTTGGAAGCCGCTGAAAGCCCAGTCTTGTGGTTGGCAGCAAAGTAGAGATGATTCTACCAACCAGTTTGAGGCTCTTCGGACTCTTTTCTCTCTGGGCTTTTGCAAGCGGCAAACTTCCTATCTCTTTGAGTTGTGCATTACTAGATGATTTCTGATTGACAGCCGATTGCTTGTAAAATGCAAGGTATGATTATCTATGACTGTTGCTTCTTGTTGCTTATATTTACTGGATCATCCAAAGTTTGGTCAGGGAAGTCTTCAGAACTTCAACTTGATGAACCTGCGTAAATTCCCCATTCAGGGATTTGGACCGGTAAGTTCTTGTCAATTTTCACTGTTTCAGTGTTTGACTGCGTGGCCCTGCGACACAACAGCACTCCAAAGGCTACATTGGAAGAAACATTTGTTGGTATTATTTTGTTGAGGAAGCAGTGGGAAGCTTTGCCAGCATTCTTCATCGGATGCCTTTCCAGTTTTTTTCGCGAGTGGATGTAGAGTTAACAACCCGGCCAGCAGTCAATGCCTAGCATCTTATTATGCAGCCATCGCGTAGCAAATATTCCCATTCGTACCCAGTTGTACTTTCCAATGGATGTTAAAGTCCACACATGGAATCCAGACCCCAGGCTGTCCCACCATGTCCCACCCGTCTAACCTCACCCTTTCTGTCTGACGCGCAGCCACGTGGCGAAAAATAAACCTCACCCCATGTGTTGCATAGCGACCAGTGCGCAAGTTGAGTCCGCGACCCCACCGGTAGTACCCACAGCATGTGCAAATTAGAACAACTTTAACACCCTACCTGATCACGGTCTGCCGCAAAACACGGATGTAACAGTTTGGAATTGACATTTAACTTGGCATGTGCAAGACAAAATGCAGGTCGATAAGATCATCTTTATATTGCCTTGCAATGGTTCTGCGCTTTCACACCACTTCGAAGCAAAGTCGTTGGTAGTGCGAATTTCATGTTTCCCCATAGATGTTTTCCAATTCATGCACAAATCGAGAAGTGTAACCTTGGCAACGCCAGGTAAACAGCATGCTGCTCGACGCAGCCCCTTTTTGCAGATGCATCCAAGGAAGGGTGAAAAAGCCAGCACAAAGCTGGAGCACAACGCTTGGGTGCAGAAGTGGCAGAGGTGTTTTTTTCGGGTTTTTGGTTTTGTTTGACAGCTTTTTCCAGGGTTCCAGGACGGTTTGGTGTTGCAGGGCCTTCGGAAAACCCATAGGTTATGAGCCCAACCAGTTCAACTAAAAGGTTACCACAACCAAAACCCGGGGCGACCATGGAGCGACGCCGTGATGGCCAGCGCTCGGTGGCGGCTGCTGAAGCTGCGGGGCTGCGAGCAAATAGCGCTGAGCAGCCGGCAGATGGAGCTGAAAGCACGGCTGGTGCTGGCGGCGCTGAAGGTGGCGCTGGCATGGCCGCAGCTGACTTGCAGCTGGACGTGGTGGAGAAGGCCATCATAGGACAGGAGTTGGTGCCCGTGGAAGAGGAACCAAAAAGGGGTCAAAAAACCGATGAAGAAACTCAGAAGGAGTCAAAATCGGAGATGTTTGAAACTCCAGGGGTTCAAAGGCCACAGGGTTCACCAGACCAGCTTAGAATACAAAACAGTCCTCATACAAGACAAAATGATGAAAGTAGTAGAAAGGGTGAACAAGAGGAACAGAGTTTGGTGCCAGTTGTGCCAAATGGGCCGCCAGTGGTGTATGGCCCTTCAACTGTCTCGCCATTGCCTTTGTTCACGCCTGAACAAGTTGCCCAGCTCAACGACCCAAGAGCTTCGTCTTCGATGCTGCCATTGTCAAGGCCAGCACTTGTGCAAGCTGAACCTCCCCTACTACCAGGTTTTCTCCAAAGTTTACTACCAGGTTTCGACCAATTGCAGAGCTTGCATGAGTCTCGCCAACGAGAGATGGAGTGGCGCGCCAACATGGAGCTGATGGTCGAGCAACTCGGACTTCAACTGAGGGCATCCCAAACAGAAAACTTACGACTTCGTCAAGAGCTGTATGAGTCTAGAAAAGAACCGTCAAGGTATGGTACTCCCGAAGAAATCTCATCGTCTGGAAGGGGCGAAGTTCGGGGTGCTGGTCGTTTGTTTGAGGATGGGGTAGTGAGTGACCCAGCAAGATGGAAGTTCCAGGGTTGTTCAAAAGGGTTTGAAAAAGAAGATAGTAAAGGAGGATGGGACAGTGGTCCAGCAAGCTCCAAAAAAGGAGGAAGGGACAGCAGTCCAGCAAGTTCCAAAAAAGGAGGATGGGACAGTAGTCCAGCAAGCTCCAAAAAAGGAGGAAGGGACAGCTGTCCGGCAAGCCTTTAGTTTTGAGGACGGGGCAGAAGCCCAGCAAGAGCGATCGTCTGAGGGATGGACCAAGGTGCAGTCAGGAGCGCAAGAAGGTTCATCTGAAGGAGATCAAACAGACCAAGCTGAGGATTCACAAGAAGAAGAACTTCATGGTCCTCGACAACAACAAGGCCGACGTGCACCAGGTGATCCAACAGTTCAAGTCTTGCTCAAGGTTGTGGAGACTATGCAAACGATGCAGAAGATGATGCTCAAGTCCAAGGATGAAGGGGGTGAGGATCCTGAAGTTGTCAGGGTATCTGCTCCGCTACCACGTCTACCAGACTGGTGCGCAGAAACAGCTCCCATCGACTTCAATGACTGGCTGACCTGCATCGAGGTTCACATGAGCGACCTGAGCGCCAATTCACAACAATGGTGGGAGTCAACTGTCGACACATGACTCTCACCCCAATTCAGAGGCTTTCGCACTCTCCGGAGCTGACCGATCACCTCAAGCAGAAGAAGTGGATGCGATTGGAAAAGAGAGCTACCAGTCTTCTGATGGCCGCTTTGCCTGAGATGCTCCGTGAGGAGGTAGTTTCTGCAAAGGCCGTATCGGCCGTTGGAATCCTCTCCCGTGCCATGCTGCTTTATCAACCTGGTGGCCTTGGTGATCGAGGAGCGATTCTTCAAGCTCTTGAAAGCCCAGTTCAATCGTCGACGGTGTCTATGGCGATTGTTCAACTTCGGAAATGGATCCGATGGAAGCGCAGAGCACTGGAGATGAATGCGTCGATCCCAGACTCTTCAATTTTGATGAGAGGGTTGAGCCGCCTGATGAAGAAGTTGGTGACGCTCTACCCTGACCTCAACTTCCGCCTGTCGCTGGTCCGAAATGCTTTGCTGGTGGATACAGTGCCAACTTTTGAGTCGGTGACAAAGTACAGTGAGCACCTCTTGGCTGAGCTGGAGCAGTTAGGGCAGCATGCAAAACGAAACGAATCTGCCGACGTCCAGCCCAAGCTGAAAAAGTTGGAGGAGAGCAACCACTACGACGACAAGCAGCAGAGACCAAAGGGAAAGCCACAGGAGGAGTTTGAGTCAAAGAAGAAGCCATGCCGGTTTTTTCTGTCTGAAGGTGGATGCAAGCGAGGAAGAGCCTGCCCATATGGGACATCTTTTGGATGGAGAAAGGCGCTGTTGGACTTGTGGCAGTCGTGAACACATGGCCACCAACTGCAACATTGGTGAGGAAGTCAAACCTCGAGCTGCCAAGATCAAGTCCAAGGTGATGGAAAAAGAAACAAGATCTACTACGTCTCCAGAGAAGGTAGAAGTTCAAGCTGAGGCCTGGAGAAAACGGGGGAGAAGACAGCATGAAGGTCTTGATTGACGAGGCCAACAGGATGCTTCAATCTCTTCAACAATCAGATCCAAAGGAGAAGACCATCGCCCCAAAGCTGCAGGATGATAAGATGGCTCAACTTCAACGGCAACTGGATGAGCTGAAGAAGGCCTCTTTGAGACCCTTCAGGCTGTCAAGAATGGCCTGCACAAAAGCCACAGGCCTGTTGGATAGCGGTGCAACACATCCTCTTCGAGCTCGACGCAAAGGAGAAAGAGTTGGTCATCTTCCAAAGGTCCAAGTCACTCTTGCAGGTGATCAACAAGTGACGATGCACCTGTCGCCAACGGGGGTGATCAATGGAGAAGAAAGTGCAGACCCAATCGTCCCGATGGGTATCTTGGCCGGGTCCTTGAAGTGCAGTATCAATTGGTGTGGTGATCAACTCACAGTCATCCACCCGAAGCTTGGCCCTCTTGACGTCAAGATCCAAGATGGCTGCCCAATGGTCACACATGACCTCGCTTTGAAGTTGATTGAGGAGATCGAGACAAAGGCCAGTTTTGCCCTTCGTGCCTTTGATGTCAATGCTCACACAGAGCTTCAGTGGATTCAGCGCATTGTCAACGAGCACCCAGTTTTTGCAAACCTGCCCAACGACCTCAAGCAGTCCTTGGTTGAGATCCCTGCCACCGACCTGAAGTCTTTGGCGAATCGAAGAATTCGCAAGTTTTGGAAGCGGGAAGGTGTTTTGGTTCATGCCTTTTCTGGCGAGGACTCTGGCTACACTCTGCGCAGAGCCTTTCACGAGGTGGGTGGGGACAAAAGAGCCATGCTGGAGTTAGATGTGCTTCATGGAGGTCCTCAAAAAGATCTATCACCAGAAGGTCAAGCCTATCCTGCTCTTCTACGTCTTGCCATGGATGGAACTTGCAAAGGTTGGATAGGTGGGCCACCATGTCGCACGAGATCAATGCTGAGGCATCTCCCTGTTCAAGGTCTTCAAATGCCACGACCACTTAGAGCTTGGGAAGGAGGTGAACATGGACTTCAAGATCTATCTCAAGCTGAAAGAGATCAGGTTTTCTTGGACGACGTGCTGATGTTCCGCTTCTTGTTGCTCTACGTGATCAGTGAAGAAGTTCGACAAGCCAACAAGCTTGAGGAGCCTGTTTCTTTGCTCCTTGAGCAACCTGCCGATTTGGCCCACATGCCGGAGGTTGTCACCATTTGGAGAACTCCTGCGTGGAAAGAGCTGGTTCGAATCTATGGTCTCCACATGCAGACCTTCAACCAATCTGAGTTTGCGGCGGTGGCCACGAAGCCTACTACAATTGGAGGTAACCTTCGACTACAAGTGCCAATGCCTGGTCGTCGTGGAGCTCCTCGTGATGTTGAAGGAAAAAGCAAAGGCCAAATATGTGAGGAGGCAAGGTTGCTCTCACGATGGCCACCTTTGATGATGCGGGCCATTGCAACGTCTTTGCAACTGGGCCCAATGAAAGGATCCATCAAGTTTCGAGCTCTCTCATGGAAAGAGCATGTGGCTGCTGGGCATACTCCTTTCAGAAAAGACTGCCTGGTTTGCCAAGAATCTTCAACCAAAGATTGCCATCACAGAAGATCACGTAAACCACCTCGAGCCGGAGTTCTCAGCATAGATATGTCTGGCCCGTTCAACTTGGGCACTGATCTACATGGAAGAAAAGGAAAGTATCTCCTTGTTGGCGCCTTCACCTGGCTTGCTCCTGGCCAAACGCCCGATGATTTTGTGGAAGAAGATCCACCTGAAGTTCCAGAAGGAGCCCCCGAGTTGAAAGATCATGAATCTGAAGAAAAAGAGATTGAAGATGCGGACGACGTCTGGGGGGAGATCCAAAATGAAAGAAATCAAAGGGCGGCCGAGCGAGAGGAAAGGCGAAGGAAGGCTGACAAGGAGAAGAAAGAGTCAAGTGATTCAAAGTATCCACAAGGGTCAGAGGATGTAGAAGAAGAAAGGAAAGATGAAAAGAAGGATGAAGAAGAAGAGAAGAAGGTTCCTGAAGTGACGGTCACCAGACTTTGCACTCCTTTGCCATCGAAGAATCGCTATGATGTGCTCAAGGCGATCATCGACATGTATCTTCGCCTTAGAAGTGACGGATTTGTGGTGACCCAAATTCACTCTGACCATGGTGGTGAATTTTCTTCGGAAATTTTGGAAAAGTGGTGTGCATCGCGAACGATCCTCCACACCTACACGGCTGGAGACCAGCCCCAATCGAATGGGCGTGTTGAAGCCTCAGTCCAATGGATCAAGGCCGAGATGCGACGGATTTTGCATGCTGCTGGAGCCCCTTTCAACTTGTGGCCACTTGCAGCAAGAAACATCAATGAAAGACTTCGACTGAAGCAGATTGGAAAGAATCCTGCCCTTCCCAACTTCATGGCTGAGGTCTTGGTTAGAAAAAGATTTTGGAGAGCCCGTGAACTTCTTCCAACACAAGAACGAGCTCTCTACATCGGACCATCATGGGTCCACCATGGGCATTGGATTCAAAGAGAAGATGGCACGTATGCCCTCACCAGAATGGTCATGCATCAGCTCAAAGATCCACCAAAGGATGATGATTGGATTGGTCTTGAGGATGAGCTGGCGCCCACAGAAGTGAGAAGAAGGATCAGAGGAAAAGTTGCGTTGAATCATCTCTCTTTTGGAGAAGCTTTTCATGGCGAAGCTGAGGAAGTCACCATTGAGGAGCAGAAGGAAGAAGAGGAGAAAGAAGAAAGCATTTTGAGGACGAGAAAAGTCATTGAAGAGGAGATGAAGTTCGCCATGGAAGATGATTCTGAAGGGTCCTACTTCACTGTGGATGCCATCGCCAACCTCAAGCAGTTGACTGCCAGCACTGCCCCTGAAGAAGTGCTGCAGACCCGAATCGTGGGTCAACAAGAAGTTCGAAAACATCTACAAGATTGGATCGATCCGATCAAAGCAGAGCTCAAGGCCTTGTTTGAGACCAAGAAGGCGCTGCAGCCGATCGATTCCCATCAAGTTCAACAACTAGTGGCTGAAGGTAAGGCTGAGATTTTGCCTTCAAAGATGGTCTGGACGGTGAAGCCTTCGCCCACAGACAAGCTTGGCCGTCGCAAAGCCAGGCTGGTGGCATGTGGCAACTTTCAAAGCCAAGATCCAGATCAAGCAGAATCTCTTTTTGCTGGAGGTGCTACGGGTGTTGCTCTGCGAGCCTCGTTGAGCATTGCTCCCCAGAAGAATTGGCAGGGCTATGTGGCCGACATCAAGACGGCGTTCCTCAATGCACCTATGAAGCTGGGTGGCTCAGGTTCCAGTCATCAAGATGATGCTCCGCTACCAAAAAGGGCGATCATCAAACCACCTCCAATTTTGGTGATGGCTGGACTTGCTCGACCTGATGAACATTGGGAAGCTGTCATGGCGCTGTACGGCTACAAGGAGAGTCCGAAGCTATGGTCAGACTTCAGAGATGACCAATTGGCCAACTTGAAAATCCCTGCAGAGAACAACAGCTGGCTCGTTTTGGATCAGATGATCACGGAGCCCAACATGTGGAGAATTTTGAAGTTTGAGCCTGGCCCTTTGCAGGGCACTCAGGCAGAACAGCTGGTGGGAATTCTTTTGGTCTATGTGGATGACCTTCTTCTACTAGGAGATGAACCCACCATTCAAGCCACAATCCAGGCCATCCAGGCCAAATGGGAGACTTCGATCCCCGAGAAGATTGACAAGTTCTCGGGCGTGAGGTTCCTTGGGGCCGAGTTGTACAATGATGGCCCAAAATGGTGGATGACACAGCGAAACTACATACAAGATCTATTGGCACGAAATCTGGGGGGAGATCGCGAGTCTTGGCCTACAAGAAAAATCCCAATGCTGGCTGAGCCTGATACACGTGAAGACCCACCTGGAAAGGATGCCATCAACGTGAAGGAGGCACAGCGCATCATCGGCGAACTCGTTTGGATCTCAACGAGGACTCGCCCAGATCTGTCGTTTGCAATCAACAGATTGGCCTCCCTCATTACAAAGGATCCCCAGCTGGTGATCGAGCTTTCAAAAAATATATGGTACTACTTGGCGGCCACCATTGACCATGGCTTGCAGTTTGAGAATCAGGAGGATGAAAAAATTATGAACATCTACACCGATGCCTCCTTCAACGATGTCAGCACTGGATGCCACTTGGTCATGTGGGGCTCGTCACTTTTGCTTTGGAAAAGTGGAAAGCAGTCTGTTTTGACTGCCTCAACGGCAGAAGCCGAATTGGTGGAGATCCTGGAGGGTGCCCTTTCGGGCGATGCAGTGAGAGTCGTCCTCGAGGAGGCCTTAGATCTTCGAGCTCGAGCCGTGTCTCATACAGACAATACAGCATCAATCTCCATTGTCACGGGAGACAGTGGATCGTGGCGAACAAGACACTTGAAAAAGAGGGCACACATCTTGAAGACCAAGGTGATCCAAGGAGACTGGCTTCTCCGACATCTTGCAGGAGCTGACCTTCCTGCAGACCTTGGCACCAAAGTTTTGTCTTCTGAAAAGTTTGCCAAGCACAAGCGTCTCATGGGCATGTACTTGGGTGATGATGTGAAAAAAGACCAAGAAGGTCAAAACAGAAAACCAGAGGGTGAAAGTGATGTGGAAAAAAGAGAAGACGGCTTTGTCATGAATGCCGGCAGAACCAAACAAGCCTTGAAGGCGATCATTTTGTTTGCCCGATTGGCGAAGCAAAAGGAACCGAGAGTGATCAAATCCAAGTCTGGCAGCCACGTTTTTCCCATTCCAGTTTTCAGTGATTCAAGCAGCGGACCACCTTTTTTCATCATCCTGACCATGGTGTTTTCGTTTGGCCTGCTGATTGGTGCTGTCGTGATGTGGTTTGCTGTGTACCCGTATTTTCAGCGGGTGACATTAGTGACAGAGAGATCAAACGTGGTGCCAAGACCAACCTTTCTTTTTCATCATTTACCAGAAGGAAGAGCTTCGCAACCAAGGAGAGAAGATGGGCCAACTAAGGCTGCGGGCGCTTCAACTCTGGCGGCTGATGCTCCTTCGAGCGCTGCAGATGGGCGAGCTGCTGGCGCGCGATCTTCGGCGGCTGGCGCTTCATCCACGGCTGCGGGCGCGAGAGCTTCGACTGCGGCTGCTGGCGCTTCATCTTCGGCTGCTGACGCTTCATCTTCGGCTGCTGGCGCTTCTTCGGCAGCAAGCGTTTTGCCGGCTGCTGATGCAGGTGCGTCTGAGGGGGCCAATTTGGGCACCGGGGTCCGGCGGAGACAAAGAGGAGCCAGATCTCGAGTGCCAATTTTGTATGTGACTCAAATGGGTCAGCGCTACCATAGTGATTTTGAATGCCATGGGCTGCGAAACGCCCGATCAATTCATGAAGCTCCACGGTGCTCTACCTGTGGACCGGCACAATCATATCCAACTGTGCCGCTGTATGGAGTAGCTTCAGGTGGTAGCTTGCATGAAAGTCTGCAACATGTGCAGAACCTTGCACTGAACAGTGAGGTCAAGAGATATGAACCATGTGCCATCTGTATGTTTGGTGGTTGAAAAACGAGATGATCTCATTGTCCAAAACCTAGGGGCTTGAGTCTACATAGATGGTGCCAGACATGGCATCATCTAGGGGGAGTGCGAATTTCATGTTTCCCCATAGATGTTTTCCAATTCATGCACAAATCGAGAAGTGTAACCTTGGCAACGCCAGGTAAACAGCATGCTGCTCGACGCAGCCCCTTTTTGCAGATGCATCCAAGGAAGGGTGAAAAAGCCAGCACAAAGCTGGAGCACAACGCTTGGGTGCAGAAGTGGCAGAGGTGTTTTTTCGGGTTTTTGGTTTTGTTTGACAGCTTTTTCCAGGGTTCCAGGACGGTTTGGTGTTGCAGGGCCTTCGGAAAACCCATAGGTAGAACCGGCCTCGCTAGAGATACCCTCTGTGGACGTGTCGTTCCAAATACGAAAGTGCTTCAGCCCGGGAAAGAGGATTAGGATGGGCTTTATCTCCCAAGTGCCATCAAGTGCCAAGACTCAGTCTATCAAGTGCTATCAAGTCGGCTCAGTTCAGAATTCAACAGAAATATACGAATTTCGAAAGCCGCTGAATGCCGCTGAAGTTGAAGGGATTGGGGTCGTGGCATCGTGGCCCTGAACAAGGAGATTTCCTGTTATTGCAAAGAACGGACAGCTTTCTGACATATCTGACTGACTTAATTCTGACTCATTGTGACCTGCTTTCCAGTTGCTTTTCTTCAATGTTTGCCGTCGGGGCAGCCAAACGCTGAAGAGACGGAATGGAATACTGCACTGGACAAGATCCTTTCAGACTGTCTACTTCTTTCGTACACCCCAAATCCCCGATCTTCGCAGCCTGTGAATCGGCAAGAATGCGATTTATGGCGACTTTTGAGTTTCGCTTTAAAAATCAGGGGCTGATCTAGGGCCAGGGGGACGCAAGTCTGGATGGATTCCGGAGCTTCGAACCTGAGAAGATTAATTTTGCCACTTAGCTCTTAGAAGCAGAGGGGTTCTAAGAAGTTCCCACCAGAACCGCGTCCCCCTTAGATTCGGCCCTGATTTCAAGCGGCTGTCGCAAGATTGACAGGGTTTCCAATGGCATGGGCATGGGGTTCAAAAAACATATTTAAGGCATCAACAAATTAATATTTAAGGCATCAAATAAAAAAACATTGAAGGGATCAAAAAAAAACATTTTCCTGCGCTGGTGCAGTGTTTTGGCCCTTTTATGCAATTTTCAAATCTTGTGGTCTTTGAATCTCCCGGTCCTTCAGTCCTCTCCCTTGGTCCCCTGGTCCCTTGGTCCTTTGGTCCCTTGGTCCTCTGGTCCCTTGGTCCTCCGGTCCCTTGGTCCTCTGGTCTTCTTGTCCCTTGGTCCTTCCGTCCTTTGGTGGCTCTGGTGCCTTAAAAATTTTGAAGATAATCCTTAATTCCAGCCGTTAAAAAAAACCTAAATCAGCTTCAATAACCCCTAAACTACCCCCCAAGCCAAAGTAAGTCTTAAACGAATCCTAAACCAACTCTCAATCAGCCCTAAACAAACCCTAAACATCCCTAAGCAAATCTTACATAAACCCTAAACGAAACCTAAACGAACCTTAAATAAGTTGCAAGCGAAACCAATATCAACCTTAAACCAATCGCAAATAATCCCTAAACCAACCCCAAATGCCACCCCTAAAAAACCATAAACCAACCGTAAATAAACCCTAAAGAACACTTATTAAACAAACAACAAACCAACCCTAAATAAACCCTAAGCAAACCCAAATAAACCACAAACCAACCCTACATTAAACCTGAACCAACCAGAAATAAATCACTAAACCAACCTTAAAGACACCGGAAACAATACGTACATAGACTTTAAACCAACCCAAAATAACCCCTAAGCCAACCCTAAAGAAACCCCGAACCAACCCTACATAACACCTAAACCAACCACGAACCAATCCCAAATACATCCTGAATCAACCCTAAATCAACTTTGAACAGCCCCTACACAAATCTTAATACCAACCCTAAACAAACCCTAAAACCAACCCTAAATACACTAAACAAATCTTGAACCAAACCTAAATAAACAAACAGCCAACCCTCAATAGATCCCAAACGAAACCTAAACCACAAAGCCTTGAACAAAATCAAAATATCCCCTAAACCAACCCTACATAAACACCAAAAAATCTTTAAATAACTTTAAATAATATTTGAACGAAACCTAACTAAACCTTTTACCAACCCTGAATAGACACCTAGTAAACCATAGGCCAACCCTAAACTAACCCCTAAACCAACCTAAGTCAACGTAATAGGCATCAAACCAAGCCTAAATCAACCCTAAACCAAACATAAACAAACTTTAAACCAACGTAAGTTTCAAAGCAACCATCGAAAATAAAAAAATCGCACTCCAAAGTGTTGCAGGTGCTGTCGAAACGGCAGCGTCGAGCCCTGCGAATGCTCGATTTCTAGGACCAATGTCCTGCAAAAACCTTATGGGCGAGAGGCTCCACTTCCAAAACGATGCAAATACCACAGAAATGCTCGGCTTTGTCTCCAAACTGTGGCAAGGGCCATAGAAAACAAAGGATTCCAGGGGATTCCAGGGGATTTTTTTTTGATGCCTTAAATATTTATTTTTTGATCCCCGCGGGAATATTTTTTTTTGATGCCTTAAATATGTTTTTTTTTGACCCCTCACCGGGCCCCTCACCCGTTTCCAATGCATTCCTTTTGTGAGCGATGTGAAGAATGGATGTTATTTGATGTTATTTGTCATATTCAAAAGGTGCTTGCAACTTTGTTGTCATGTTTCGACGGGAAGGCGTGCCACAATTGAAATGCCTCTGCGAAGGAGTCGACGTTGGATTAGCGCATTTCTGTCAAGATCCTGCAACTTGGAGCCTGGACCGCCGACCAGGATCTGGAGAACAGTGCAGGTTTGTATAAATGTCCGCATTGGCCAAAATTATGGTCGCTGATGGTGGTTTCATTAATATGTTTTATTAAGTGAACATGTGTTTCCATGGAGGCATTCTCAACTAAAAAATGCGCATGCTGCATGCAGATTCAAATATTATTCAAATATTATTCAAATATTATTAAAATATATAGATTGCGTCAAGGATTTGGCCTTTGCATTGCACTTTCCAACGCGCTCTCGACTCTGGCGCCAATGCCGTCATACCGCCCGCTTTTTCCTGATTGAAAGTTGGGCCAAACCCGCCTCTACAAACCGCCATTCCCCTGCAAAGCATATTGAGTCACAATGAGCCATACCAGACTTAATTGCGAGCAATCAGCAATGTTAGCAGCTTCTGACAGTAAGAAGATGGAATAGCGAATGTGGCCTTGATGTATTTGTGGCGCCCTCAGGCATAAATGGTATTATTCGATCGGAAGCTATGAAAAGATGCGAGCGGAGTCCGGGGCTGGTAGCCTTCACTAGCATAGCGCATGAGGTTGGTACACATGGCGTGGCCAGGAAGCTCCAGAGGGTGAGAGAGAGAGAGAAATTACCCTAACCCCTGTTGACTTTGTTTCCCATGTTCCTCTATATTATTTGAAGCTCTGAGCTGAAGATAAAAACTTTGTTTCACTTGCAGCTGCAACACGCATTCAGCACATGTTTGCCTTCTGATCAGCCACAGTCAATATGGTTGAATATTTTTGAGCTATGTCGATATTGAAGTCATTGAAGTCACTAGGAATACGATGAGTACGTAGCAAAGCATCCCACAGAGTCCTGGCAGTTCCCGTTCCCGGCGGGCAGCGAAAGGGAACCAGGCTTCCAGTTCCCTTCAGCTTGATGGACCATGCAGAAGGCGCCTGGAGAGGAGGCGAGGAAATGCACATTTCAGCAGGAAATGCAGCAGGACATGGGTAAAAACGAGGTCCCGGCACAACAAAAATGACGTTGAAAGATCTTGAAAGATGGACCTGAAGTAGCCTGAAGATGCCTGAAGTAGCCTGAAACCTGGGAGAACGTGAGGCACTGACTCTGTGGAAGCATCTCTTTGCAGATCCTGACCAAATCCTGCCAGGGCTTTACATATGAGTGGACCTCCTTACGAGTGAGGGACTCAAGGAACATAGTGGAGTCATAGTGGTGCCTTCCCAGTAGGTGCCTTCCCAGTAGGTGCAGCATGTTCAGCCTGTCCAAGGTTCGAAACACCTTCCTTGAAGTGGATGTCGAGGAGCAGGCGAAGTCGGACACCCCTGGGACAAAGCACTGAGACTTGAGGATCACAAACAGGTTTGCACCATCACGTTTATCAGTTTTATTTATCCGGCTTCATTCGCCCTTTTGTCTGCAAGGGGCGGTCTCACAACTCCTGCGCGATTGCTCAGGAGGAAAGTGTTGGCAGTGTCCGAAGAAGCAACTCCTTGCCCAGCAACTACAGCAGCAAGGCTGGGAAAGAGATCCGAAAGAGCCTGAGTTTTCTTTGATACGTCAGTGCATTTGGTTTCAGGGTCAGGTCCTCTGGGTGCCCTTTGCCCGACGGGTGTGAGAAATGCATGTTGTGGAAGCCACTTGACCGTGGCCTTTGGGAGGATAGTGAAACCAGCAGCAGGCAGGGAACGGAAGTGGGACATGGGTCTGCGTGCTGAATGGCCTTGCCTTTTGCCGGCCACGTTAATCACCACACTTCATGACATTCTTTTCCCAAAAAATGCTAGAAAATCTCAACAGGCCTTTTTCATCCTTTTTCGAGGATCCTTTGTCATGCTGCTCAGCTCACAGAGCTGGGAACACTGGCAGCTCTTGTCGTTTTGGTTTGCTATTTCTGTGTATATAATGCAGGAGCTGCAGGGGTGCTGCAACCCATTGTGGATAAATGAAAGCCACAAGGGGCTAAATTGGCGGATGTTACGCAGTTTCCTTCCTTTGTATCTGGGCTGTTGGCAGCAACCCCATATTGAGAGCCACATGACAGTTGCATCATGGTGCAGCATTTTCACGATGGAGGGGAAGTCGAAACATGTCGAAACCACAGGAGCCATGGCAGTCCTGACCGGAATCACGACGGAGGTGCTATGTCAGGACCTGTCAGAATGGAGATTTTCTGCATGGCCAAAGTCATTTTGGCAAGAAAGATGTAGTGAATGTAGTGCAAGAGCAGAACAGTCGTTGAGTCTGTGTCATGATTCCTTGTCTATCCGTCGGGGTACACTCAGCCGTGGCCAATCTTGGCAAGTGAGCTAAACATCAAGCCGCAAGATCATAGCAACCCCACAGAATCGCAACATCTATAAAGCGAATCCATCCTTACCCAAATTTTCAACCACTTCTGCAAGTACACAGCTGGAAAAGCCATGCACCTGAGGGTGACGCTGCAATTCGCAGCAAATTGTCATTTGTTTTCTTGGGGCGGTATGCATTCATGCAAGACAAATATGATGCAATTGTTTGTGGATGTCTGTGGACTATTCTGGCATTGGCCGACCTTCTGCAGAACCCAAGAAACTGACAGCAGTTCTCATGCAGCGCCAGCAGGAGCACAACGTCCGTCGCAGGCACTGGTGAGAGCAAGTCTGAAAGGTCCAAGGAATGAAGAGATTTGGTTTCATAAGGTTTCATGATGATTTGCGGAATGACCACGGCATGTTCATTGGATTTCAGTAGATATCGCGTCTGCGTTCGTATTTGGATCCAGAGTTTGGACCGAGTTGAGGCACGTTCCTCTCGTCGGGGCAGGGACGAGGCGCGGGGCATCGCAGTGCATTGCGTGTGATTCTGCACAGATTCATATCACGAAAGGTAGCTCCAGTGGGGCTACCTTCAGTTTTGCTTTACGAAGTAAAGGGGAGGGCGGCCAGCCCCGTTACCTGATTATTTTGGAGATTGCTAGTCATTTCAGTACCCCCTCCCCCGCACCCTAAGAGCAGACCCAAAACATTGTAATTTACAATACGTATTTTTTTCTTTTTCGGATATAGAAACTACATCTTGCAACATGGTGAAACCTTCGTAAATACCAGTGTTTTTGCTAGGTGCTGGCCAACAAAGACTGTAAATACCGTGATTTTCGCTACCAGAAGCCAAGCAAAAACATCGTAAATACCGTGGTTTTGGGCTTCCAACCCGCCAAAAACATCGGTATTTATGGAGTTTTTTGCTCCGAGAGTTGCAGAAACACGCGAAAACACAAGTTATTTGACGATTTTTGACTACGGGACTGAGAAAAAAGCAGCAGCAGCAGCAGCAGCAACAGCAGCAGCAGCAGCAACAACAACAACAACAACACCAACAGCAACACCAACAGCAACACCAACACCAACAGCAACAACAACAACAACAACAACAGTAACAACAATCGCAACAGCAACAGCGACAGCAACAGCACCAGCAGCAACAACAACAAGAACAACCACAGCCACAATCGCAACAACAACGACAACAACAGCAACAACAACAGCAACAACAACTGCAAGCTCTAGATCGCAGTGTTCCCTGCGGGACTCGAACGGCAACCTCTGGATCGGAGTGATCTGCGACGGACCTCAACCGCGCGCACCGGATCAGAGTGTTGCCCGCCGGACCTCAGCTACAAAGGATCTCCGAAGATATAATCGTGCCATAAAGAATTTCAGAAAATATATGAGATAAAATGCGAACGCCAGATGGGATGTCAGAAAATATGTCAAAACAGTGTCGTTTGGTGGACTTACTCGAAGAAAGTAATTTGTTCCGAAGGCTTTCAAAAATTGATTTAAGACAGCCAAAATGACGCCTTGTGGGGCCCTACGCGCATCATCGCCATCAGCAACAACGGAAACGACATCAAGCATTTGAGCTTGGATTCTGTTTGGTGACGCATTTTGCACCAATACATATCTACAACCAGACGACGTTACGCACAGAAGCGTTTACACAGAGCAGCGTTTACCGCGCAGGTATTCTTACACAGAGAGGTTTGTGCACAGAGAAACTTTTGTACACAGACACCTTTGCACACAGAGGTTTTTACACAGAAGTTTTTACATACCGATGCTTTATACAAAGATGCCTTTGCGCACATAAATAAAGGCACGTAGGCATTTTTGCACACAGAACCTTTGCCACAGAAAAGCCTTTGCACAGAACAATTTTTACACACAATTTTTTTGGCACTGAAAAAATAGACACAGACTGCGCCAAAAAAAATACATCCTGGATTTTTTGCACGCAGAAACTTTACCCAGAACAGTTTTTACACAGCAAAAACTCTTCCGCACAGAAGCCTTTACGGACTGATTTTTTAAATGCACAGCAATGATTATAGGCAGATGGTTTTTACACAGAAAGTTCTCCGCACAAGTCTTACGCACAGAAGGTTTTACGCACAACATTCTGTTATTTTTTTTTACATACAGACGCTTTTATACACAGATGCCTTTACACGGAAGACGAATTGCACACTTTTTCCCGCAACCAGCTTTTACACAGAGAGGTTTTGCTTCCCCTTCTTGATCACCTACCTTTCGTGTGCCCCCTCTCAGGAGATTTTTCTGGGGAATGGGAATTTGCATAGCTTACGATAGCTTCAATGGACTTATGATTTCTCTGCACTTGACTATTCGCGGTTTGCTTTACTTTGATTCCACCAACTTTGTTCGTTTTTTATCGTATTTTGATATTTTTGGGGCCAAATTTTTAGACTCAAAGACTTTGAAAGATAGACCCCGAGGCGAACGTGCCTCGGCTCCCATTGGTCCTGCAGCCGGACCAAGAAGATCCTCTCGATGCTCCTCAAGCACCCGATCCAGCATGGTTTGTTGTCACACTGCCGTGCTTTTTAAAGCTGTTTTATTTGCCCACTAAGAATTCTAAGAATTTTTCGGAATCTAAGCTCCATGGCCCTCACATCATCTCACTCTATGTTCAATACCTTGCTGGAGACCGGAAACATCAATGCCTTAAGCATCCTAAAGCATGATCCCGCTTTGGGGTGAACATAGAAACACACACATGTATATATACTGTATATGATTATATATGCCAGTGATTACCGGTGGGTGTGTAAGCTTATTTGTTGAAGAGTGTGGACGCGCTTTTCACTGGCAGCACTTATTTGGGAGAACGGGATGATGGGATGATGTATGTACTGAACTACCAAAGTTGACCAAAATCTTGACTTGCGTCTGCCATCCACTGTCCGTTTTTGTTTCTGTTTTATTACACACACACACATATATATATATATACACACATATATATATACACATATATATATACACATATATATATATATATAAGTTTGCCCATGCGTGCAATAGCCAGGCGCGTTCCAGGAAACCTCTGGAAGCAGCAAGCCAGGAGGGGTGCTTTGGAATGAGCACCGGGTCCTACAACTTCCGGATCGTTCCTTGGACTAGGGATGACTATATAGGGGCTTGTTTTTCGACTTCGCCACCTCACCACAACCATAATTCCTTGATATCTTGGCAATCTTGCCATTTGCTGCTGGTTTTGTTTGATTTATATTTGACATTATTTGACCATTTACATTGTATGGGGCATGGATGGTCGATGCACAAAGGAGGCTTAAGAGGCATCCGCGCAGTGGGCCAGGAAGATGATTTGGACGAGACTGAGGAGCAATTCCTAGCATCTTGGTATATCTTGGCTTGTAGAAGCAGAAGATAGCAGAAAAAAAACAAAGAAACCAATCACAAAGACAGACAAAGACATATATACAAAGACAGACAAAGACGGACAAAGACGGACAAAGACAGACAAAGACAGACAAGAGCAGACAAAGACGGACAAAGACGGACAAAGAAGACGGACAAAGACGGACAAAGACGGACAAAAACAGACAAGGACGGACAAAGACGGACAAAGACAGACAAAAACAGACAAAGACGGACAAAGACAGACAAAGACGGATAAAGACGGACAAAGACGGACAAAGAGGGACAAAGACAGACAAAAGCAGACAAAGACGGACAAAGACGGACAAAGAATAAGAAAACGGACAAAGACAGACAAAAACGGACAAAGATGGACAAAGACAGACAAAGACGGACAAAGACGGACAAAGACGGACAAAGACAGACAAAAGCAGACAAAGACGGACAAAGACGGACAAAGACGGACAAAGACGGACAAAGAAGACGGTCAAAGACAGACAAAGACGGACAAAGTCGGACAAAAACAGACAAAGAAGACGGACAAAGACGGACAAAGACAGACAAAACAGGACAAAGACGGACAAAGACGGACAAAGACAGACAAAGACGGACAAAGACAGACAAAAACAGACAAAGACGGACAAAGACGGACAAAGACGGACAAAGACGGACAAAGACGGACAAAGACAGACAAAGACGGACAAAGAAGACGGACAAAGACAGACAAAGACTGACAAAGACAGACAAAGAAGAAGAAGAACAAATACAGACAAAGACGGACAAAGATGGACAAAGACAGACAAAGAAGACGGACAAATACAGACAAAGACGGACAAAGACGGACAAAGACGGACAAAAACAGACAAAAACGGATAAAGACAGACAAAGACGGACAAAGACGGACAAAGACAGAAAAAGACAGACAAAAGCAGACAAAGACGGACAAAGAAGACGGACAAAGACGGACAAAGACAGACAAGGACGGACAAAGACGGACAAAGACAGACAAAAACAGACAAAGACGGACAAAGACAGACAAAGACGGATAAAGACGGACAAAGACGGACAAAGAGGGACAAAGACAGACAAAAGCAGACAAAGACGGACAAAGAAGACGGACAAAGACAGGCAAAGACGGACAAAGTCGGACAAAGACAGACAAAGACGGACAACGACAGACAAAGACAGACAAAAGCAGACAAAAACGGACAAAGAAGACGGACAAAGACGGACGAAGACAGACAAAGACGGAGAGAGACGGACAAAGACCGACAAAAACAGACAAAGACGGACAAAGACGGACAAAGACAGACAAAGACGGACAAAGACGGACAAAGACAGACAAAAACAGACAAAGACGGACAAAGACGGGCAAAGACAGACAAAGAAGAGGGACAAAGACGGACAAAGAAGACGGACAAAGAAGACGGACAAAGACAGACAAAGACCGACAAACACAGACAAAGACGGAAAAATACAGTCAAAGACGGACAAAAGACAGACAAAGAAGATGGACAAATACCGACAAAACCAGACAAAGATGGACAAAGACGGACAAAGATGGACAAAAACAGACAAAGACGGATAAAGACGGACAAAGACAGACAAATACAGACAAAGACGGACAAAGACGGACAAAGACTTCTAGCATGCACAAGCCCTACGGGGAGGCAAATGTAGGTTGGATGAGGAGTGCGATTTGCCGCATAGGCAAATAATATAATTTCTTGAAAGGGTAGGTTTTGCCGTGGCACCCATGAGTTTTTGCCATCATTTACTGCGGCTCTTAGTTGTTGCATAGCCTGCTTGTCCCTGAGAAGCCAATCATAATTGGAGCTATAGACTAGTATCAGTCTGTAGCGTATGCACTTGGTTTCTTCACTGTGTCGGTCTTGATAGCGGTTGGCAATGGCTAGGGGGGGAACATTCCACGTCGGGGTTCGATGACGAACAAAGACGGACAAAGAGAGACAACGACAGACAAAAGCAGACAAAGACGGACGAAGAAGACGGACAAAGACGGACAAAGACGGGCAAAGACGGATAAAGACGGACAAAAATGGACAAAGACAGACAAAAACAGACAAAGACGGACAAAGACGGACAGAGACAGACAAAGACAGAGAGAGACGGACAAAGACCGACAAAAACAGACAAAGACGGACAAAGACGGACAAAGACAGACAAAGAAGACGGACAAAGTACACAGACAGACAAAAACGGATAAAGACAGACAAAGACGGACAAAGACGGACAAAGACAGACAAAGACGATGGACAAAGACAGACAAAGACAGACAAAGACGGACAAAGACGGACAAAGACAGACAAAAGCAGACAAAGACGGACAAAGACGGACAAAGAAGACGGACAAAGAAGACGGACAAAGACCGACAAAGACTGACAAAGACGGACAAAGACAGAGAAAGACAGACAAAGAGAGACGAAAACGGACAGAGACGGCAAAGACGGACAAAGACGGAGAAAGACGGACAAAGATGGACAAAGGCAGACAAAAACAAGCAAAGCAGACAAAGACGGACAAAGACAGACAAAGAAGACGGACAAATACAGACAAAGACAGACAAAAACAGACCAAGACGGACAAAGAAGAACAAAGACAGACAAAGAAACGGACAAATATGGACAAATACAGACAAAGACGGACAAAGACAGACAACGAAGACGGATAAATATAGACAAAGAAGACGGACAAATACAGACAAAGATGGACAAAGACAGACAAAGAAGACGGACAAATACAGACAAAGACAGACAAAAACAGACAAAGACGGACAAAGACGGACAAAGACAGACAAAGACGGACAAAGACTGACAAAGACGGACAAAGACGGACAAAGACGGACAAAGAAGACGGACCAATACAGACAGGGACGGACAAAGACAGACAAAGACGGACAAATACAGACAAAGACGGACAAAGACGGACAAAGACAGACAAAGAAGACGGACAAAGACGGACAAAGACAGACAAAAACAGACAAAAACGGACAAAGAGAGACAAAGACGGACAAATACAGACAAAGACGGACAAAGACGGACAAAGGCAGACAAAGACAGACAAAGAAGACGGACAAATACAGACAAAGACGGACAAAGATGGACAAAGACAGACAAAGAAGACGGACAAATACAGACAAAGACGGACAAAGACGGACAAAGACGGACAAAGACAGACAAAAACAGACAGAGACGGACAAAGACAGACAAAGAAGACGGACAAATACAGACAAAGACAGACAAAGACGGACAAAGACGGACAACGCCAGACAAAGAAGACGGACAAATACAGACAAAGACAGATAAAGAAGACGGACAAAGACAGATAAAGAAGAAGGACAAATACAGACAAAGACAGACAAATACAGACAAAAGACAGACAAAGACGGACAAAGACAGACAAAGAAGACAGATAAATACAGACAAAGAAGACGGACAAATACAGACAAAGACAGATAAAGAAGACGGACAAAGACAGATAAAGAAGAAGGACAAATACAGACAAAGACAGACAAATACAGACAAAGACGGGCAAAGACGGACAAAGACAGACCAAGAAGACAGATAAATACAAACAAAGAAGACGGACAAATACAGACAAAAACAGACAAAAACGGACAAAGACGGAGAAAGAAGATGGACAAACACAGACAAAAACAGACAAAAACAGACAAAGACGGACAAAGACGGACAACGCCAGACAAAGAAGACGGACAAATACAGACAAAGACAGATAAAGAAGACAGACAAAGACAGATAAAGAAGAAGGACAAATACAGACAAAGACAGACAAAAACAGACAAAGACGGACAAAGACGGACAAAAACAGACAAAGAAGACGGACAAACACAGACAAAGAAGACGGACAAATACAGACAAAAACGGACAAAGACGGAGAAAGAAGATGGACAAACACAGACAAAGACAGACAAAGACGGACAAAGACGGACAAAAACAGACAAAGAAGACGGACAAACACAGACAAAGAAGACGGACAAATACAGACAAAAACAGACAAAAACGGACAAAGACGGAGAAAGAAGATCGACAAACACAGACAAAGACAGAAAAAAACAGACAAAGACGGACAAAGACGGACAAAAACAGACAAAGAAGACGGACAAACACAGACAAAGAAGACGGACAAATACAGACAAAAACGGACAAAGACGGAGAAAGAAGATGGACAAACACAGACAAAGACAGACAAAAACAGACAAAGACGGACAAAGACGGACAAAAACAGACAAAGAAGACGGACAAACACAGACAAAGAAGAAGGAACAAATACAGACAAAAACAGACAAAGACAGAGAAAGAAGATGGACAAACACAGACAAAGACAGACAAAAACAGACAAAGACGGACAAAGACGGACAAAAACAGACAAAGAAGACGGACAAACACAGACAAAGAAGACGGACAAAAACAGACAAAAACGGACAAAGACGGAGAAAGAAGATGGACAAACACAGACAAAGAAGACGGACAAACACAGACAAAGAAGACGGACAAAGACGGACAAAAACAGACGAAGAAGACGGACAAACACAGACAAAGAAGACGGACAAACACAGACAAAAACAGACAAAAACGGACAAAGACGGAGAAAAAAAATGGACAAACACAGACAAAGAAGACGGACAAACACAGACAAAGAAGACGGACAAAGACGGACAAAAACAGACAAAGAAGACGGACAAACACAGACAAAGAAGACGGACAAACACAGACAAAGAAGACGGACAAAAACAGACAAAAACGGACAAAGACGGAGAAAGAAAATGGACAAACACAGACAAAGACAGACAAAGACGGACAAAGACGGACAAAAACAGACAAAAAAGACGGACAAACAAAGACAAAGACAGACAAAGGCGGACAAAGAAAAAATGGACAAATACAGACAAGACGGACAATATTTTCCACAAATTTCTCAGGAAAGGGTGGGACTATCTGCTGAACAAATGCTGGCCGATGCATTGCATCTGAAACTTGTCTAAGAAAATGGGGCAGCTTGGGCTGTAATATGTTTTGATATGTTTTCATATGGTTTCAATTGGTTTCATATGTTCAATGATTTGAGATAATTTCTTGATGTGCAGATTTGCATCATGCCATCGCGGTTACAGAAGGTGGTGTCCCAGGAGTGGTGGGAGTCCGTGTCTTCGGAGATTCTGTGTGGATCTAAGGCCGGATCATTGGTCGTTGAGGCGCCCGGACTCGAAATTCGTGGGACTTCATACGAAACCAACAGAATTCCAGAGGATTCAACGGACTCTTTCGTCGCATTTACAGGTTCCAGTTGGCAAGGGTCTGTCCCCAGAGACCAAAAGATCATAGAGATCTGCAAGATCCAAAAACATGCGCACTATGCGCTTTTCCCAGAGAGAATCGACTTGAGCTCAACGTGGCGGTAGCGGAGCTTTGAACCTATCACAACTTCTGACGGCAAGTAACTTGCGACTTGCGATACTAGTCCCAACAGCAACTGCAAAGCGCACAGTGCGCACAGACGCGCACAGATACAGAATTCAAAGATCCGAATTCAAAGCAGGAGAAGAATGGAGGCACAGGTGACAAACCTTGGGCCCAAACCCAACCGGCACTCCAGCAGATTGGCACGTCGTTCCCACTATTCTGGGTCAACATACTCAACATATGACAAACAATTCGCAAGCTGCTGTGTTTCAGCTTCAACTTCTAGCGCTATCAGATGCTATCAGACTCGAGAGATCTCGACATGCAGGCGATATATCAGAATAGATTTTAAATGATTTTAATATCACTCCAAAGGCCCTACAGCGATTTGCTGACTCACCCCAGTCCATCATAGCACAATTTGCAAATCAGATGGACTTCTCGCAAAGCATTTCTACCTTAGACTTGAGAATTTGAATTCCGACTATGGTTTGCCTGGTCAAGCCCATTGATCAATTTCCCTCCTCTCACACAAGATACACAAGTCTAGTTTGCCTCAAATGCCTCAAGCACTTCAGTTGATTCAGTTTGAAGATTTTGAAGTACCCTTCAAGGCAGAGATATATAGCTCAATCAAGATCATGTATCAACTCACAGAGTCTGCAGCTGTGCAGAATGCAACGTTTACGACTGTACGACTGTTTACGGTTTGAGTGCCTAGGCTGCCATAGTGCAGCGTGGACAGGGACCTCCCCACTGGTCAGCAGCGGAGCCACCTAGATGGCACTTGCGACCTGGCTGAGATTTGAGGAATGGAGGACTTGGGAGGACTTGATGCTTTTCAAATGGAGGGACCTGGACAGGCGACAGGCTGCGAGGCTAAGCCGACCAGTTTCACTGTCTGAATCATGTGCAAAAAAGTAAAGCCACTGATGGCTTCGCATAGACGGTCCGAAAAATGTGATATCTGCACGTGAAATACGTGAATCTGGTGATGGTCTGGGGATGTCTGGGGGTCGCGGTCTGTGTAGTCTGTGTAGTGTGAATCAGTGTGGCCATATGTGGCCATATGTGGCCAAAATGTGGCCAAAATGTGGCCAAAATGTGGCCAAAATGTGGCCTAGGTGTGCCGTGCTACTTTCACTTCCAGTCCAAATGTCTGTTTGGTGACAAGTGTGGCTGCTGCCACGAATCCAGCCTCTCGGCGCTGATATGTTGTTGAAAACCAATGCTGGAAACAGATGGTGTCGAAAACCACATGGGATTGTTATGGATTGTTCCACTATATTCAGATCTATATTCAATCATGTTCAATCCTGACTCAATGGTGACTCAATGGTGACTCAATCATGTTCAATCATTGAGTTCAATCATGTGAATCATGTGAATCATGTCTGTTCGTTGGCAGGTTTCTGATGTTGTCCAACGGTCGCTTTCCGGTCGATGTCCAGAGACCATAGAAACTATGAGACGCTTCGGCGCTTCAGCAGATCGTCCAAGATCCAGCTCTGAGGTCTGGACTGCGACAATTTTTAGATGATATCTGTCTGATATCTGTCTGATATCTGTATGATATCTGTATGATATCTGATATATGATCTTTGCTGATGACAGCGGTACTAAAACACTAACTCTTGAAGTAAATTACCAATACAGTCTAAACACAGAATATGTCTACCTACAGCAACTTTTTCAATGGTTTGGATGAAGCTATCCCATTTTCTTGACTGTTGGGCACAGTTTAAAAGACATCTGTGTTGCTGATGTTGGCAAGGCCTCAATTTGATTCCAAGTCATGGCAAAGGTATGCAAAGGTGGCGTTTATCCACTGCTGCGAAGCACCTCTCCACTCATCTGTTTCTTGCAGTGTCCAAGATGATGAAGCCAGAAGTGTGAGTTGAAAAGCGCTGTGATATATACAGTTCATATCACTTCACACACACACATATATTTATACTGTATACTTATCTACATCTATGTATATAGTATATATATATATATGTTCTATATAGATAAAGCCATAGATATAGACAGATATGATATAAATCACCCAGTATGTATATATTACACATATTGCACACTATACATGCATATTACATATGCACATTTGATCCAAGCACAGCGGGGTCGCCTGGTTTTGACTCAAAGCCCTGCAAGCTTTCCATCCTTCGTCTCCAGATAGCTCGACGCCCTCGTATTGATGGGCCTTTGCATCAAAAGCTGCAAAACTCTTGACTCTCAGAGATCTCAGAGCGCGGACGAAGAAAAGTGATGAAACATAATATTGAGAATACTGAGACCAATCTGGATGCGCTTTCAACACTACACAGCCACTTTGATGGTATCGGCGAAGAAATTGACATGTGGCAAGTTTTCATGTGCACGACACGTGCAGAACATTTTTGCCCGTGCTATGTGAATTGAATTTGATGCCTGGGAGCGCCAGTGTGGTCCCGGCAGCAGATGTCGGTAGTGACTCCAGCTGTTGAAAGAATTCACTTCCTTTGAGACCATCAGAACTTTCATCATTTTCCAAGACATCATTGCTTTTATGTTTGCAGTATTTGACAAAAGTTTTTTTTAAATCATTTCCAGATATTTCCAGCTTTCTTACCTCGAGTCGGCGCCTTTTTTTAGTGCGCCAGTTCGTGCGCCGTGTCGATGAGTTGAGCGGTGCCATGAGCGGTGGCCTCTTCCGTACTGATGGCGGTGCCATGGGCGGTAGCTCCTCGGGTTTGGACGTCAGCGACATCGCTGAAGCCTGGCAGCGGATTCGTGCTGGCAGTGCTGGCGAGGCATGGGTCCTGCTGGAGACTTGGCTGGGCAGCTGGGCAGCTGGGCAGCTGGGCAGCTGGGCAGCTGGGCAGCTGGGCAGCTGGGCAGCTGGGCAGCTGGGCAGCTGGGCAGCTGTGGGCTTTTGAAGGTTTCATTCCGGCAGAAATTCCAGGGGAAAACCATCTTAGTCGTTTATGTCTTCTCCAAGCCCCGAAATCAAATCCAGTTTGAGCATATTAAGGAAACGCATTTTCTCGAGATTTGAAGGTGATCCACAAGCAAATAGGAGGCATTAGGAGGCAAAGATCCATTTTGAGAAAGGCATTTTCCGGAAGATCTATATACATGCATATATATATATAGCCTATATAGGTTCCCCAAGATTGATGGCATCCATTCAGAGCCTATTGATTTCCTAGGACTTAAAAATTGTTACTTTCCACATTTGATCAAAATATGGACGAGTGAACTGAGTGAACTCCAGGACGTCTCCTGCCTTTGTGAATAGGACACAGTGACACAGCGCAGAGTTGTACAGCAACGCTTTAGGAGTGAACACTTTAGGACGGAACGCTTTCGCAACGCTTGAGGAATGCTTTGAGGACGCTTGAGCAACGCCCTAGGATTGAGTTACGCATCAGGAACTTTTGGGGGAAACAACTGATCTCAATCCAAACGCAGGGTCTGAAGGGGTTTGAACTTCTTTTTTTGGGACTATTTGGATGGATGTAGAGAAAATGGATGCTGTTTTTCGTGCATTTTTCATCATTTTTTTAGAGAAGGCAGACATGTGTTTCCGCTTCAACTTTTGACACGATATTGGGGTGGTAATTATGGTCAGCTGCACGCTCCTGCCAGTGCTGCTTTGCGCCTGTGTGTGAAATGGACCTGCCCATGAAAAGACGACATATTCGTCATATTCTTTTACATTGGCCTTGTGGTTTGATGGGGATCAGTGTGACCCGTTTGTCTTCTAAGATCTAAGGAACGGGGTATTCGGCAATTGGGCACTATAAAATTGATTAAAATTAAATTGCAACATGTATATTACACACATATATATATATATATGCATTGTTGGCACTGACATATTCTTGGTGCATTGGGCATGAGGGCCTGGGATGTGTGATGGTATGTCGGGGTGTCTTATGGTATGTGGCCTTGGCAGTCTTGGGCTTATGGGTTCCCATGCCTTCCTCAACGCGTTCCCCAACGGCCTTCCTGACTCCCGCCTTAGCCTTAGCCTTAGCCGCTATAGCCTTATCTAAAAAACTGACGTAGATTGAGATGAGGAGTACGAGGGAAAGAACAAGCTGAAAGTCAAAGCCTCTGGCAACACTCGCGACGCTCTTGAAGAGCACATCTCGGATGAGAAGGTGGTTTTTGGAGGTCTCCGAACCAAGGAGGGTAAGTTCTTGTGCCTCATGTGCGACTTGGCCGCAAGCTGTAGTATGGAAGAGGGCTAAGACCATTCAGACCATCGATTTGTCCCAGGTGCCACGATGTTTGGCAATTGTTTGGCAGATCTTGCAAACAATTCTCACATATGTGACATATGTGACATATGTGCATGTTTCTGGCACCACTATCGAATGAAGCATTGAACGGTGAGCGCCAGCTGAGGCACTGGCGAGAATGTCAGTGCAATGGTCAAAGGACGCGCGGCACACCATAAAAATGCGGCGTTCAATGCTTTAGATGGTACAGTTGGAGAAGTGTGTGGACTCTCAAAGGAAGAGTTCCACCAGCAGTTGCAGAAATTAGATTTGTGAGCCGTGAGCCTGGTCTGAGATCCTAAGTGTCTCCTTAGCCATTTGTGCAGACCACGTCTTTGGAGATGTTAGAGTATGCTGCAGCTATCTGCAGCTGCCCAGGAAAGCAGGCAGCTTTGCTGAGCTTTGCTGAGGGATTTGTAGGCTTCAGGGGAGCAACTCACGGCACCGCAGTGCGCAGTGTGATGTGTAGTATGTAAGAAGGTTAAGAAGAAGATTGAAGAAGTCGGCTGTTCTAACCTTCCCAACTCGAGGATTTGCCGCAGCTGTTGTGGACCATTGCAGAGCCCAAAAACCCAAGATTCATGCGGAAAATCCTAGAGAAAGAAAGCGCACTGAGAGCAAAGGGCGTCAGCTTGCGGCTCATGCTTAATCCTAAAAATAATGATGCAGCGATAACAAGCACCTCATCCCTTCCAGCAGCATTGTCGTTCTTGGACCAACTGGTGTGGCCAGGTTTCAAGATTCAACAGGGCGAAGTGTTAACATCGAAAACAAGCACTCAGCAACACGTAGCAACACGTAGTTGTCGCAGTACGTCGTACGTCGTATTGGTGTCGTAGTGGCTCTTAGACATGGGCCTTGAACCAGAAGATCGGCGGCAGTTGCTGCTGGTTGGCGACGTTGAGGGTGGCTTAGCCAAGCTCTACAGCCAGGTGGATCAATGTTTCGCAGTGTCTTAAAGTAAATGTGATACAAACAGTACCAGCATGTACTGCCAGCTAATTGCTATCAATTCCATTCAACTCCTGTGTCAGGAGCTGTCACGGGTTTCCAGCAATACTTGAGATATCTTGAGATGGCACCTGCCACAACTTGGCCTTGTGAGATTTGAGGCTCAAGAATGATATGTCTCACATACACAGACCAAGGTAGATATGCAGACATGATATCGATAGAAGCAATGCTGCACAGATGACAAGTGAAGCGACTGGTTTCCTCACATGATTCCAGCGACAATTGTTAGCCCGGCTCCAAAGAGTGCAAAGAGATTGCATGATGATCATGATGTAATGTAATTGTTAATTTTGTATGATTTTGTATGTCTGAAGGGCTAGGTCCTAGGCCAATCAAACCATGAAGCAGAGACACACAGTTTGGTCAGCTGAGCTGCCTCAACTTTTCCTTTCCACTGCGCTGCTTCGCTCGTTTTGTTTAGCTTTGTAGCTTTGGAGCATGCTGAAGCTGCACTTTGCTGTTGCAGAGGATGAGGCAACCTTTCTGACGGTCTTTACGCGCGGTCTTGCAACGGAGGTGGAGATACCTGCGGGGAAGGACTGAGCAACGCACCGCTGAAGGCTGCTGAAGGCTGCTGAAGGCTGCTGAAGGCTGCTGAAGGCTGCTGAAGGCTGCTGAAGACTTTGATGCCTCTACCACAGAATTTTAGCGCCTCATTCTCTGATTTTCTCAGGCCCAGAGAGTGCCTCAAAATGTCTGGCCTCCAGTTGCGCGTGCTCCTGCGCAGGACCTGGAATTTGCGAAGAACCGGGCCATAGACAAGCTGCCCCTGGGCAGTCAAGATTTCAGCGCAACGACGTAACATTAGTCAGAACAAAGGCAGAGCACCAGATAGTGAAACGAGACCAGATCCAAATTGTGATGTGAAGACGGGGGCTGAGACCAGGACTTTGTTGGTGTTGGACGGGCTGACCATCATGGGATGGGGCAGACCAGAAGCCAAGGTGGCCAAGCATTCCCTTTTGCCATGCAGTGGCAGCGTTGCTGGGCAAGTGCTGGCTGCCATGTGAGAACACGTCATGTCACCAATATAAGTCCGAAATCCCAAGTTGATTTATGTTTCCAATATATTCCAATTGAGATTTCTGAAAACATCTTCAAACAAAGGCTCATGATATTTCATGATATTTCATGATGTTCATGGGATTTCATGGGCTCATTTGAGTCATTTGAGTCATTTGAGCTGAGCTAAGCTGAGCTTTGCTGAGCTAAGGCTTTCACAGCTTCGAATTTTTGAGGACGGCGTCGAAGTGGATGGGAGCTCTGCGTGTCGCGATCAGCAGCGCTTGCTGTTGGCTGCAGAGTGTCCCTCCGAGGCAAAACCTGCAGCTGCCGAGGCGGAGGCCTTTGCAGGCGCAGTCGGCGCCCTGGGCCGCCACAAGTTGGGCCTGGATGCGCCGGGAAGCTCAGCCACATGGATGGCCATGATGGCCATGGCCGTGGATTCCAGAAGAATATAGAAGAATAACATTGACATATTTGACATGAAACAGTTTCAAAATGTTTCAAACAAAACGAAAAGTTGATTTATCTTGATTTGTGAAGTGTTTTCTTTTGGTTTAGATCATTGTGAGGCGGTTTATCAATTGTTCCGATATCGATTGTGCCGGCTGCGATAGTCCGATAGTCCGATAGTCAAATAGCTGTCTCCTTTGTTGTGCTCGTTGTGCTCGTTGTGCTTGACACTGAGGCCTGAGTGTCCTGAGTCCCGAGAAGACCTCATGAAGCAGCCCTTGAAAGAACTGAAGGAGCGAAATCTGGGCGAAGATTCTCCCCGAATCCAACGAATCCAACGAATCCAACGAATCCAACGACTCCAACTTTTAACGCACAAAACTGGTGTCACAAGGGCATACAAGGGCATACAAGGGCCTTGTAACGATTGCCACAACGAATTGCCAATGGCATTGCCACTTTGGGATGGAATTTGAAACGGGTGATGGCAAATGTATGTTTCTCTTACAAGGCCATGGCCGTGGCTTCGATTTTGAGTCAAAATTCATCAAAATTCATTTTGACTGACAGGCGCGCTTGGCAAAAGCAGGATTGTCCTCTGAAGGCTGTCTTGAAAAGGCTGATTTAGTGGACCGGCTCCTAGGCCAGTGAGATCAAAAGACCTCGCAGCGAGTGTCGTGGTTGCCATCGGTTGCCATTGGTTTTCTTCAGATACACTGATACAATCTGATACACTTTGGACAGTTTGTGAATCTTTGATAAGACATGATAAGATATAAAGATATATAAAGATCATAAAGCAATGGAGCTGTACCAGGGAAAGCACAAGTTGTGCCGGTTTGAGTATTTGTTTTGCCTTCCGCCCCATCCGCCCCGACTCCTACCAGGCCACTTGCCTTGAACCAACTCTTGACATCTCTTGACATTTTGACAGGTGGCTACGCAGCAGAAGAAGGGGATTAACTTCACTGCTCTCTTTGCTGTGGGAGCGCCAGTGCCCTAGGATTAACCATCGGCTGCCTGTTTGCTGCATGTTTTGATGAAGTTTGTTTGCAAAAGCTGTTGCAAAAATCCAGCAAGAAACTACGAGAAACTGGTAGCAGGGGAAGATATGACATGCAATGCCTGTTTAGAAATTTCGTCTTAAAGGTTCGGTGCGTTCATGATGCTCTGCAAATCGCTTCTCAGGTTCCTGCCTGCATTGGGCGACACTGAGGCCTCATGAAATGAAAACTCATGAAACACGATGAAACCTGAGTTGTGGAGTTGCAGAAACCTGAGTTGCTGAGTTGCGGAGTTGCAGAGCTCGTTGTAATAACAAGTAAGATGTTGTAAGCTTCGGGCTTTGGTCCGCTGTCAGGCTGCCGCCGTGTTGGCAGAGTTTGTCTCCGGCACGCGGAAGGCCTGGAGATGCCTCGAGATGCGTGGAGTATCTCGGAGCAACTCGGAGTCCTTGAAGAGTCGACGCTGGAAGCGGTGCAGATCGGTGCAGGTTCCCATCGACACCTTCTTCATCGATAGCAGAAGTGCTGCTTTTCTTCAGGTGCTTCCACAATCTTCCATGAGTAAATTTAAGTAATAGTTCCTGCATGTTCCTGCAGATCATTGTCATGATGTGCATGAGACTGAGAGCAGGGATGAATGCCTGCATGTCGGGTTTGACAGGCTGCTCCTGACGGAAAGCAACTTACCGAGTCTCTCCCTTGGTTTCGTGAAGAAAGGGCATGGTAGATCTTGTTGGCATGTGCTGTGGCTGCGACATATGGATGCACATGGGAGGAGGTGGGCATCATGCATCGGATTATCATGGATTATCCCCGTGTCGGCCCGTGTGTTGAGGAAGATCCATTTCCTGGGTGGCTTCGGGGTTTCCCTGACTGTTTTGCCGTCCACACCGTTCGGGTTCAACTGAGCAAGCGGTGTGACCCTTGCTAAGCGTAGGAAGTGTAGGAAGCGCAGCAGTGGCCGCCAGGTGCGGGAGTTTAACGGACTGAAGGTGGCCTACCTCTCAGGGCGCACTTCTCAGTTGGAGCATGAGGATCGTTGAGGATCCAGGGTGAACATGGGGGAACAACATGGAACAGCACATGATTATACTCGCTATATTTAGACACATATTCAACAGATTTTCAACACATGTCTAATCTTGTTCATCACATCTGACTTCAGTGTAAATTATAAATAGTATAAATCATACGAGGTACATCTTGCGTAGACGGCGCTTGGGTGTTTGGACGTTGTGCTTGAACAGACTTTGATCAAGCAGGGTCCAGAGGCTTCGAACCCAGGAAGCCTTCAATTTCCATCTCGGCAGCTTTGGCTCCGATTCATCCACTTCCATGGCAGTACAACATGGTAAAAACATGTAAAAGCCCATTTCACGCACGTATATAAAGACTTATAAAGATATTGTTCCGCATGTACACTGGGTGTACATACACATGGCCTGCTTGGAAAATTGCGGGCTGTGCTTTCTTATTTCCAAGAGATTTGGGATGACTGCATATTATGCATAACCGGCAAACCATTCTGTGTACAGCCGCTACTGCAAGGCTCGACGGACAATTCTGGAATTTTGCCTGAAGCAAGCGCCGAATCAGGCCATGATAACTTGCCCTATCTACATACAACACATGCATTTGTGCTTTTTGCATTTTAAACAGATTAACATACATGCACGCACACACACACATATATATATATACATATATATATATACACATATACATATTATAATTATATAATGTGTGTGTATACACATAATTATAATACACACACTTTTCCCAGCACACTCTTTTGACACACACAAGTGCAACTATGAGGATATTTATTTAGTTAGCATATTTATGCATATTTAGCATACATCTATAAAAGATTATAAAAGATACACATGCACAAATGAATACGCTCCACGCAAAAGCGCTTCTCCTTGACCCCAAGCGTTGCTATGGCGGCATTTGCGCCAGTGCAGAGACTGGCACCATTTAGGTCACCCGTTGTCTCATGGGCACGAGCGCGGCCCAGAGCAGAGCCATGGCAGCGGATTCCAATACAGGCTGGGGACCAAACGTTACAGAAAAAGTCTTCAAACATTTTATGACATTTTATGACATTTTATGATGTCATGAGATGTCGCAACCATTCTAAGTGAGGCATGGTGAGGCATGGTGAGGCATGGTGAGGTTTGAGACTTGCCAGACTTGCCGCTGGCTCCCGGTGACAAAAGCTGCCACCTTGACAGGCTGCGGGTTTCTCGTCCCGCCGAGGGAAAATTGCCATGGCCGTGGCCGTCATGAGCCGCCGCTTGACTTGTGACTTGTACACATGCAATCGGCACGACATTTAAACGCAAAGATCGGCAGACACATATGATACATGGTACACGCATTACCCAGCTGCTCTACCGACACAATTACTAGTAAATATATGTAGATATTGACATGCATATGATTATATCAATTATTAATTATATCAGATGTCTCGACAAATATAACCGACGTTATAAAGTTATAACCGATATGACATGATAGAAGATGATAGAAGTGTGTGGCATATTTGTTGTGACGTTCAGAGTGAAAATAGTGAAAGAGTTTGGTGACAGTTCTCTCCGTTCCGCACCGATCTCTGAGGCTTAGGCTTAGGCTTTCGCCGCCGCGTGATGAGAGCCGCGTCAAACGACTTAGGCTGGCCAGCTCTTGCCAATGTTTTCAGCGGCATGGACTGGCATGGAAGTATTCTGTCTGTCTCTAAGGTCTCGATATTTTGCAGCAGAAGGTAGAGCTACAGACTCCTTATGGCCGTGTGGAGGTGGTGGCACTGCGACCATCTGACGAAAAGCTGTCAGCTGTATTGGTGAATGTGGGTTGCTACTACACTCTGGCGGACTCTGGGTATATAATATGGATTAATATGGTATATAGCTGGCAGATGTGCGCGTCACATAATGTCACATATGTTGAGAGAATTGGCCAGAAGCCGGTCGTTGAAATATTTGACATGATGATCATGATGGCGTCCAAGGACACGCTGGAGAGGGTGGAAGGTCCAAGATACGTTGCGCAGGGATATGCCTATGTCCTCTGGCGAGCTACAGGGCCGCTGGAAGAGGTGGCAGATCAAGTCTTTCAGCGATGGCGAGACGATGCTTCGGTCGTATTGGATTGGCTCGGGGAACAGCCTTGGTGTCACTCAGCGCCCTCCAACGGAATTCTAAGATTCTAAGCGCAGGAGATACCGCAGGAGATACCGCAGGAGATACCCATGAAATATCATCAGGGTATGGCTCCGCGATCCCATTTCCTTCAATAAAGCCAAGATATATAGGATGAACATACATGAAGTTCATATGAAGTTCATATGAAGTTCATATGAAAGTGTCAGACTCATTGTCAGATGATGTCAGATTCACTTTTGGAATGTTTTGCGGTCAATTGCATTTCATTGCATTTCATTGGTGTGGCCTTGTGGTCCATATTGAGGTGATGGTCGCGTCGGCTGCCATGGCTACAGCCTGCTGGGCAACACATCCTACGCTACCCTGGCTGCCTCTCACGCCACAGACGCACCAGCATCGAGACCTTTGGTGAAGTGCGTCGTTCCTGCCATCTCCTTCTCTCGGATCCAGTCCACAACCCAGTTCAAACATGTTTAAACATTGCGACTGACAGCAGCCACTTCAGCACATTGCGATGTGACCATCAGACTTTCGAGGAATGCCGAGCAAAGCCATGCAAACAGCAAAGCATAGCAAAGCTGATTTTCCGGTTTCACACGCAGAGCATATCAGAGGAGTTGGATAGACCATGTGGAAACATATGGAATCATATGGGAGCCCAGTGCCAATAGGGCTTTAGGAAAGCCACTGAAAATCAGTGCATCGCATCCAGTTTCACCAGGCCCACTGTCTTCGTGCGGGGGCAAAGCCTTGCTGCTGAGCTGGCGCTAAGATTCTTATGGTTGGCCGAGGTCGGCTTGCGCCAGGCCTGGTGAAAGAGTGCATGGCTATGGGATTCTTCATGGATTCTTCATGGATTCATGTGGAATTATGATTGAATTACACTAATTATGTGCAATTTTCATCAATTATGTGTAATTGTCCATTTTGTTGACATTGATCAGTGCACCTTCGCCGGCTCCATTGGTTTGAAATAGTCCCTTTCCTTTGTTCAGCTGGGACTTTTCCCATGTCGCATCATCGGACGCATGTTGCTAGTGGCTGCCGCAGGGTCGGCTGGTGGGTTTCAGCTACATTTGGAACATGCTTCTTGGCTGTGTTGTCCACCTTTGTAATAACATGAAACGATGTGGCACAGCAATGCACAGCATATATTAATATAATTTAATATATTACACAACAATACGTGTAGCATGACGTAGCATGACTGAACATGTCAAAAGTCATCGCCAAAAACCGCCCTGGCACAGCCTGTGTTTTTTGCCAACCTCCGCAGCCTCCGGAGCCTCCGGGGATGGAAATTCCATGAAAGCCGAGGTTTGGCTTCTTTGGTCTTCCGGACTGGCCAGGACTGGGCTCCGCCCTGGCACAGCGTCCAGTGGGCGACGCAGATGTGGACCTTTGGGGCCGAGCAAACACCTTGTGGAAAGGTGGCCAGTGGCTTGACAAACGCTTTGACAAACGCTTTGACAACCGGTTTGACCATGGACCAAACATGACATGTTTGCATAAATTTATATGGTCAGTTTAGTAAAGTTTAGTTCTTCCGATGGAGACAGCTTTGCGGAGCTACATGAAGCTCAGGACGTCAAGGCATCCGTCTGACTCTTTCTGGGATGGCCGGGACAGGCAGTTCCAATTCGATGGACTCCGTGGACCGGCTCACATACACGTCATTGCTGGCTGGAACGATATGTTTCTGCTTCAGAGTTTGGATGACTATGTCGAAGACCCTTGACCGCAAAAAAAACCGCCTTGACCATGTCCAGTTCGACTTCAGCACAAAGATTGTAATTGATGCACTCAGTTGTGTCACTGAGCCATTACTCTCCAATCTGTCCAAGTTTCTGCCGTATGTAACAACAATAACAACATGTAACAACATGGAACAACATGTACAAATATCCACGTCCTTGGCCAAGGCAAGTCGGGTCGCTGACACACGACTCACCATCTACACGGGTGGTCACTTCGGAGTTGTGATGAACCACGCAGGGGAGGCTGGGCACCAGCCGGGGTGTGTTTCAACGTGGGTTCAACGTGGTTCAACCGCGCAGGTGGCAGCCGAGACGGGACGCTGCTATCGCGAGCACTTGGCAGGTGATGCCCCAGACACACGAAAGGCGGTGAGAATGCAATTGATCACGGAGAAGGAAGAGACGCTGGGACAACATGTGACATGAATGTGACATGAATGTGACGCGATGGTAACACAACTGTGACAGAAGTTCAGCAAAGGTCTCTCTTTCATCCTCTTTCTTTGAAGTATTGGAGTATATTGGAGTCATTGGAGAAACAATAAACAACTTTTAACTCATAGTCGTCATAGCCACCTCCAAAGAGATTGGTGGGGGAGAGCAACGGAGCTTGAAACGGTTAGCAAACTTGTTTTCTTCATCATCCCATGTCGCGACTACAATAACCCAAGGCAGACCCAATGGTTGAGGCAGATTGAACACGATTGAACATGATTCAACCACGTTTTTGCCTTTCCGCTTCAGGGAGTGGTTGGAGTGTGACCAGTGGCCGCCACCGACAGAGTCTCACCTGGAGATGTTCCTGCAGGGTGAAGGCACAACAGGCAGCTTGCTGCGACAGCCGGGCAAAGCACACCTTAGCTACACCTATGACCCGAAGGAGAGGGGTCAGCTTTGAATGCGTGAGTTTTGCAGCTGGAAAGAGGCTTAAAATGGCTTGAATATATTGAAGTGTTGATGTCGCAACGTGTGGAAAGTGGAAAGGCTTTGAAAAACAGGATTTAAATTGGACCTAAGTGGATTTAATCAACTTAGACTTAAACGCATTCAACAGATTTTCAAAGGCATCAGCTGGCAGCTAGTGGAGGGATGTGCAGGGGTCAACGCTGGATGCCATGGGCCATTTGCTTTAACCCAAGCCCTCGACGTCGACGACTAAAGGACCCAACGCCCTATGCTGGAGATGGCTGGCTGAATCTTCAGAAGGATGGTCCCCAGGAACAACGAGGTCCCGAGTTGATGTCAGTTGACCGACTAAACATGACTCGATGTGACGATGTTGACGAACCCTTGGACCCTTGGGTGCTTTATACTTGCATCGCTTTACTATGCTTTAGTCATTCCTTGAAAGAGCTTGGAAGTCGGAAAAATGTGAGACGAATCGAGACGTGGGAAACGCCTTTCATCATCAATTGACGTCCCCTGGGGCTGTGCAGGTCTGGAAGCCTCGCGAACGAAGGATCTCCTGCTGTTGAGCTCTGAGCCCTTGGAGGAAGACCTGGACATCGTTGGAGAGGTCAGCGTCTCGCTGTCACTGGGCGAATCTAAGAAGATCTAAGAAGATCTGAGAAGATCGAAGCCGAAGCCGTCCGATTCTGAACACCGACACTGCCAACACTTCAACGATTCAACGATTCAACGAGGATCACTTTGTGCCAAGGTCAGTCCGGTGCAGTGCGTCTGAATGCGATGTGCTGGCTCGGCTTTGTGTAGTGCGAAGCCCCAAGCAGGGATGGCTCAGTCCTCTGAGTCCCCTGAATGGCATAGCAGATCCTCGAGGTCTGGGAAGTGGGCGATCTGTCGCCAAGCTGAAATGACACAAATGGCACATGCATCTGCCATCATCTGCCATCATTTGCCATCATTTGGTCGGGCTTGGTCGATTCTTTCTCATATGTTGGGCCATAGTATGCCATGGCCTAGAAAGGTCGAAAAAGCTTGAAGAGCAGAAGTTCAAAGAAGGGTATGCAGATTGTTTGTGAAACTTATATCTGGCAAGCCTGCCATGGGATTCCGTGGATCTTTTCCACCTTGCTTGACTTTGTGCTTGAGCCGATGAGGTAAACCTGTGCGAGAACATTGCGAGAGCTCAATTTCACAAGGACACTACGATGTTGCTGTTGGATGCTGTTGGTAGACCATGTGTACATGGATGGATTTGTAGCCAATTTACGCGACCATGCCCCTGGTGTGCCTGGGATTGACTGATGCGATTGGAAGTGCGTTGATTAAGATCTTATTGATGCCAGCATGTTGTCTTCGTTAACTTTGTGTATGATGAAATACTCTATCCAAAGACTGCATATCTCACACACGCAGACTATGCGGATATATGTATCGGGCAACCATACGGGGACAGAAACCCACACACACACACACAAGACGCACACACGCGCACACACACACGCACACGCACACGCACACGCACACACACACAGAGACAGACAGACAGACAGACAGACAGACAGACACACACACAGACAGACACACACACAGACAGACACACACACCGAACACCACATACAACACACCCACACGACCACACACAGACACACACCACACAGACACACCACACAGACCACACACACCATACACTACACACACACACGACCACACCCAGACCCACACAGACACACACCATACACATACACACACAGACACAGACTCCACACAGACACCAGACACACACGACAACACAGACACACAACCACACAGACACAGACACACACACAAGACCACAGACACACCACAGACTATACACCACCACATACAACACAGACACATACACACACACAGACAACCACACACACACACACACAGACACACACACACAACCACACACGACACACACAGACACACACACACAACACACACACAGACACACACACAGACACACACCACACATACAACACACACACACATCACACACACATACACACAACACACACACACATACACACACCACACGACACACACACCAACACAGACACAACACACACACACACACACAAATCCCAACAGACACACACACACACTACACACACACACAGACACACACACACACACATACACACACACACACACACAACAACACACACACACACCCCCACACCTACACACACCATACATACACACACACACACGACACATACACACACACACACACACACACACACACACACACACACACACATACACAGACAACATCACAGCACCACACAACACACACATAAACAACCCACACATACACACACCGACAACACACACAACAACAGACACACACACACACATACCCACACAAACCACAGACACATACAACAACAACACACACATACACCACACCACATACACACACACTACACCCACACTACCCCAACACACCAACACACCACACATACACACCCACACATACACACAACACACATACACACACCCACAGACACACACACAGCAACACACAACACTCACACACACACATACCCACACACCCATACAACACACAACACATCACCACACACACACCAACACACATACAACCTACACACACACATACCTACCCACACAGACAGACACACACCCACAAACAGACACACACACATACACAACACACACAACAATACACACATACAATACATCACATACAGACACACACACATACATACACACACACATACGACACACACAATACACACACAACACATACACACACAACATACACACCACAACCCACACACAATACACACACACAAGACTCACACACCACCACACACACACATACACACACACATACACACACACGAACACACATCACAACATACACACACACATAACACACACCTACACACACACAGACACACACACACACATCACACACACACATACACACCACACACACACCCATACACACACACACACACACCCACACACACTACACATACACCACACACACAACACAATCACACATACACACACACACAACCACACACACACACTACTCACACACACCCACCACCCCACCGACGCATACCTATGCACACACATACACACTACACACACACACCATACTCCACACTACTCCACATCACACACACAACACACACCCAACACACACACCATACACAACGACACACCTCACCACACACACACCCATACACAGCACCCCTACCTAACCCACGACCCATACTACCAAACTCACCCATACAAACACACCCATCCCCTCCCACACACATATGGTGGTGCTCAGGAGGAGGGTTAAGAGGGGGGGTAGGGGGTTGGGTGGGGGATTCTTTGCACACTCACCCTGTGCACACCAGGGCCCTGCACTATCACCCCCACACCCCTACATACGCATACACACACACACACACAACTACAACACACACACACACCCACAGCATCCAACACACAAACTACACACACACATACACACACACATCATACACCACACACCCATACCCCCAGCCAGCATCCCCCCCGACCCCCTCACCACACACACACACACATCACACACACACCACACATACCTACACACACATCACACACACAGACACACACACTGACAACATCGACACATACGATGCAACACATACACATCACACATACAACACACACATACACACAACATCATACACACACACATACACTACCACATCACTCCTGACTGCAACACACGACCACACTACTACTCACACACTACACACGACTCATCACACACTCACTCACTACACTAACACAGACACACACGACTCACACTACTACGCAACACCCCTTCTAGCTCACACAAACTCACTACTACACGCGACCCACACGACCCCCACACTAAACTCACACAAACACACAACCGCACAAACACAGACTCTAACGCACAGAAGACGCACAGAAGACGCACAGAAGACGCACAGAAGACGCACAGAAGACGCACAGAAGACGCACAGAAGACGCACACACGTGCACACAGACACAAGCACAAACCAGTCATTGAATGTCATTGACCGATGGGTGACCCATGGGTGAGACATGGGACACGGGCGAGACACGGGTGCCCCAGGACCAGGTGAAACGCCTGGACCTTTCCATCGGTTTCACGGCCTGTCGTCTCGAGAAAGGCGACTGCCTTCGCCTCCACATCTGTTCTGCGGCACATCCGCGATGGCTGCGGCATCCGCTGCAGCCGCAGGGAGAAGATTGGCTGCTGGGTGACAGCGAGGCTGGGATCGCTGGGGTTGAGGGATGCAGAGTCATCCAGGGCCATCCAGGGCCATCCAGGGTCACCAGAGCTGCAAGGGTGGGGAATTGACAGGTGAGATGTTGAAATGGGTGGGTCACCAGAATTGACGAAATGTTGAAATGTGGTGAGATGTGGTGAGATGTGGGGCCTGCCAGGTGGGTGCCCCAGCAGAAGTCGTCGTGGAAAGTCCTTCGTGCCTCAAGTTGCCTTTGCGCAGCAGGGCTGTGACCAGTGGATGAGTCAAAGCAACTCTGTCTCCAAGGCATTCCAAGGCAACATGCAGTGTATGCAGTTGGACTCAGTTGGATGCAGTGGGATATACCGTGGGAAATTGCTAATGCCATAGGTAGAGGTTGAACCGGGAACCCTAAACGAGCTCAAGTTCCAACAGCTTGGACGTCTCATATCAACTGCATCCAACCACATATTTTCCCAATTCTACGGATTAATAATGAATAATGATGAATGTGACGTTCATGTGCATATTATGCATTAATGCTCAGCCTGGTGCTCCGCTGCCAAAACGGCGGTGCTAGTTTCAAGAGCACCAGAGACTGCCAGAGACCCGGTATGTTCATGTCGGACTGTGAACGAAAAACGATTTTCCTGAGCGATCCGAGGGAGCGTGTTTTCACCAACGCCCACGTTTACCTGCTCATGACCACTACAGTCACTACAGTGCGGCAAAACTGAAACTCTGAAAGCCTCAAAGGTTGGAGCTGCTCATTTACAACGTCTCCAGTGTTGTCCTTTTCGGACCAGAACAATAAACATGAAAATTGGGAAGATTCAGATTCGAGACCGAATCTGAACTACAGTAATTTGATGGATTCAGTTTAGCAGTTTTTGATGTTGAATTTTTGACTTTTTTCAGGATCGAAGTTGAGTGTGGCCAGTGCCACACTAGTGACACTAGTGCCAGCTGGTTCTCCAAGGTGCTACGATGCTGCCACTTTCGCCAAGCCAGTACGAACCTCCGACATCGCTCTTGGATTCCCAAAGCTGGCAGTGAAGCAGTCCAACAGCGCAATAACACACAAAAAAAAGTACACCTTGTATGGCATTATACTGTTAAGGCATTGTATAGGCGCTCCAGACTTGATTTCAGATTTTCTCTGCCCATGGCCATGGCTGTAGGATCACGACCCGGATGCTCGTTTTTCGGGTGAAATGATGATGATGATGATGATGATGATAATGATGATGCATCCAAGCAGTGCGGCCTACCCCGACATGACTTGGGGATGTAATTGAGTAATCATGTTTGACGCACGTTGTTGAAGGTAGAGGAAGATGGCCCATGCTTTGTGGGTGCAGCATGGTTCTCAGATAATGAATGGGAATGGATAGTAATGGGGCATTAGTAGCAGATAGGAGATTAGAATACATTAGAATCATTAGAATCAATTAATAAAAAGAATGCATTAGAGTACAGTACGTTATACACAGCTACCATAGCTACCATAGCTACCATAGCTACTACAGCTACTATAGCTACTATAGCTACTATAGCTACTATAGCTACTATAGCTACTATAGCTACTATAGCTACTATAGCTACTATAGCTACTATAGCCTTATAGATCCTTATAGCTACTATGCATCTTGTAGGTGTCAAGGCTTTGAAGGAAGAGCTGCTTCCATGCCTTGGATATCGACCATTGCACAAGTGCCCGGGGAGAGCCAGCGGGGAGAGCCAGCGGGGAGAGCCCGAGAGCGGCCCAGGCCTACACTGCCACTGCAGTGCAGAAGCTGATCAAGCTAGTTACTTGTCAAATCTTGTCACATCTTGTCACATTTGTCACAGTGAAGCCATGTTGACCAACATGAGCACAGAAATTGCACAAAAAAGAAGACCATACTGATGAATTGTGGGAGATGGGATGTCTAAGCCGAATTAGTCTGACATTTTCAAAGCTCAAACTGTTAAAAAAAGTGAAAAGCATGAATCAGCCAGTCCAATCAGATCATTTGCATTTTATTTGCCCAATGTGCCAATGATTCAGTGCTTTCCCATGGCCGGAAACACTTCAGCCCAGGCGAAGGCAGAGGCCTCACCCATCGATATCCTCTTAACAGCCGAGTGGCCAAAGGGCATGGAGGTCTGAACGTGATGGTAGCGCATGGTAGCGCATGGATCATGGTAGCCATGGCAGATAAATCCGTCAAAAAAGATGAGCTGGATGGATATGGGTGATAATTATGGGTGATATGATGGGTGAATATGGAGGGCTCTCTCACACCGTTTGACTTCTCCTGCGTTTTGTCAGCAACGCCTCTTACATTTGTCACCCTGGCAATGAGACATGATGAGACCCCAGGGGTTACGGTTACTGTACAGGGCCGCTGGTGAACTAAGCCGACTAAGCCGACTAAGTGACTAAGTCTTCCTGCCTTCAGGAGCGCATGGATGAGTCTGCGAAACCCAAAGATCCAGATGGTCACAGCCTCGCAGGGAACAAGAGAATTTCTCCCGAGATGCCACGAGGGGTATGAGTTGTGTTACAGTTATGTACCTCGATTGATTAATCAGTTATTACTAGTAATACAGTTATACATGTTATACAGTTATTAGTCAGTTATGTACCTGATTGAAAAACTTCAATATTGAGAGATCAGCATGCAACGAACAAATCAAATCCTGGAAGATAGGGAGCCCGGATTTTTCCCATACGCACCACTGCAGCAGGAACAAGATCAAATCCAAGACGATGCACTGGATACATCTGGATACCACGAAGCAGCCAACACCACATGAATCAAGTAGGACGAGCTTGGACTTACCACTACACAGCTGCATCCGTCAGTTGCACCTACCAGAAATAAAGTTCTGCATCTCACCTTTACCAGCAGTACCATTTCAATACACTTCATACATTTAATCATACATGTTCGAAGCTTGAACACACGGGCCAAAATAGTCACTACATGTCACTGCCATGAGTCAGAAAGATTCGGAAAGTAAGTATGCAAGGCAATGCGAGGCATCTTACTTTGCAGTTTGTGCAGTGGCCACTGCTACTGTTTAGCCATGTTTAGCCTTCGGGTTTGATGAAACGACGCGGGAACTTCTAGCGCTGGTGGCTGTGTCCAGATCCAAGTTTGCTTTTGCAAAACCGATGCAAGTGCCAGTGCAAGGGGCCTTCGCCCCATCATATAATATCATATATAGGCTATATATAGGCATGATTCGGTATGATCTTATGATATCTTATGTAACATAGAAACATAAATCATACGTAACCGTATGTCGCTGTACATAGATAATATACCTATCTGTGCACCTATATTTGGATCCCAAACATCGTTCAAAGATAGTGCCATAATCTGTCATACAATGATGGCTGTTTTCGCTGTGGCTCTGGCAGCTCCATTTGAGGTGCATGCGGCTCTCGTTCCTTCGGCAGGCCTTGATTCCGGGGACAGTATATGAGATGATAAGATATGATAAGAATATGATAAGATATGTCTTGGACCAGCACCAATATCACCAATCAAAACTGTATCTGAAAATCTGCAATCTTGGCTCAGGAGCTGTTCAGCTCACTTTCTATAGGCCTTACTGGAGCAGCACCCCAAAGCAGTGGTACCAGTACCCTCACTAAACGAGAATTCAGAAACTTTGTTCCAAGCAAAACTGCGGAGGGTGCTGTTCTAGTTCTACTTCCGCTCGGTTTTTTTTCTGGCGCTTTGCATCATGCGCGAAATAGTGTTGACCCTGTTAATATCGCAGCTTTTGGCTGACGGCAGCGTTGATATGGTCATTCCCTCCGGTTGTCGCGCTGACAACTTCTTGCTGGGTGAAGCTTGGCGCTTCAAAGAATTCTACTATCTCCATTATCTCCATCTCCAAATTTCATAAATTCCTCAGTCTCGGTCTTGAAATGTCTTGAAGTTGCCGTATCGCCCGGTATCGCGTATGTTCGCCACGTAATTCAATACAGTTGTCCAGATTTTTTTTTGGATATTTGCATATCTTGAATGCTAGACTGCTAATCTATAGACTGCTAGACTCTGGTAGACCTGCTGAATTCATCTGAATTCATCTGAATTCTAAGGAGCACGTGAAAGATATCTTTCAAGCAGAAGTGGACAACGACCATGCTCTGATCTTCACCTTGGAGTCCATCAAGGCGAACGCCCCTTGGATTCGTCGCATCTACGTCCTGCAGGATCCGCAATGCGAAGCTGTGTGGAAGGCGAAGATCAAACGCGACATCGTCCCGGAACCCCAAAAGATGCTCAGCTGAAGCTCCCAACAGATCCCGCAACAGATTTCAAGAGATTTCTACAGGATCCTCTAAGGCACCAGAATATCATTCAGCAATATTCAGCATGAATCTCTGTGAAACTTGCCAGTGACTGCTAGTGACAAGTGGCGATTAGGCCTGGGTGGCAAATCCAGAATATATCCAGCATACAAATCCAGCATACATCATAAATCATCATAAGGATTCATATGTATGATGCAACGATAGATGTTATGTTACATCATGTTATGATGTTGCAGGGTCACCAACTCAAGTAACTCCAGTTGCAGCTCGTTCTCAAGGACGACCTGGATCGACCAATGCTCACTTTTTCCGCATCCATCGAGGGCGAAGGACATGAAAAAGCGATTCCGTCAGGAGAAAACTGCGCTTCAACAGCTTGATGAGACCTTTCCGGAGCTTGGCATCTACCACCAGGGGCACCAGACATCTCTGGTTGAGTAGCTAGGCTTCCTCTAAATATACCATATATGTGTAATATATGAATATATCCAAAATACATCAAAATACTATTATCATTATTGTTATTATTATGATTGTTATTGTTACTATACCAGTAGTTCCGCACAAGGCGGTGGCGGAAGTTTCAAAAATAGGACACCTATAGGATGGGTTGGTTGTTGTGAATCACGGGTGGCAGAGCGAATCCATTGATGGACCGAAAGGTGGTTGGAGTTGTGTTTTTTGGAGTGGTTGCAATGGTTACTTAATTACAGTGGTCACCTCACCCACAACTACTCGATGTAGTGTGGTGTAGTGCAGTTGTAGTTGTAGTTGTAGTGTAGTGTCGTGTCGTTATAGTGTAAGGTAGTGTAGTGTCGTGTAGTTGTAGTTGTAGTGTAGCGTAGTGTAATTAGTGTAGTGTAGCGTTGTGTAATGTAGCGCAGTAGTAGCAGGAGGAGGGGTAGCAGCAGCAGCAGTAGCAGCAGCAGCAGGAGTAGGAGTAGGAGTAGCAGCAGCAGTAGCAGCAGGAGTAGGAGTAGTAGTAGCAGTAGTAGTAGTAGTAGCAGTAGCAGCACAGTAGCAGTAGCAGTAGCAGTAGCAGTAGCAGTGGCAGTGGCAGTGGCAGTGGCAGTAGCAGTAGCAGTAGCAGTAGCAGTAGCAGTAGCAGTAGCAGTAGGAGTAGGAGTAGGAGTAGTAGTAGTAGTAGTAGTCGTAGTCGTAGTCGTAGTCGTAGTTGTAGTAGTAGTAGCAGAAGTAGTAGTAGTAGTAGTAGTAGTAGCAGTAGTAGTAGCAGTAGTAGTAGTAGTAGTTGCAATTTGTTGTTGTGGTTGCTGGTTGCTGGTTGCTGGTTGCTGGTTGCTGGTTGCTGGTTGCTGGTTGGTGGTTGGTGGTTGGTGGTTGGTGGTTGGTGGTTGGTGGTTGGTGGTTGGTGGTTGGTGGTTGGTGGTTGGTGGTTGGTGGTTGGTGGTTTGTTGTTGGTGGTTTGTTGTTGTTGTTGTTGTTGTTGTTGTTGTCGTTGTCGTTGTCGTTGTCGTTGTAGTTGTTGTCGTCGTCGTTGTTGTCGTCGTCGTTGTCGTTGTAGTTGTTGTCGTCGTCGTTGTCGTCGTCGTCGTCGTTGTCGTTGTAATGAGTGTACTGTAATTAGCGTAGTGTAGTGTAATGTAGTTGTAGTTGTAGTCTTTGCAGTTGTAGTTGTAGTGTTTTGGCAGTAGTAGTTGTAGTTGTCTATCTATCTGTCTATCTGCAAGCTTGAGAGCGAAGCTATTCTGCGAGATTTCCTCAATTTTGAACTTGACAATTTGACAACATCAAAAACGCGGCAATTCTGCGAGACTTCCTCAATTTTCGAAGTTGGCAACATCAAAAACGAAGCAATTCTGCGAGACTTCTTTCAATTCTCGAAGTTGACAACATTAAAAACGAAGCAATTCTTCGAGACGTCCTTCAAAAATAGAACGTTGAGTGCAGAGCTGACGGCCTCGTACCAATGCGTTTTGCAATTTTTCCACTCCATCTGCCTAATGTATTGCGCCTGCCACGAAAAAGTGATGCCAGGTCATACGAAGTGCTGCACCTGTCACACAAAATCATGTCAGCAAACCTGAAGATCTGATGCTCCAGAATGCAGCCCTTCTCAGGAAATCAGTGCCCTGACCTCCCAACATCTCTGATGAACATGTCTCTTGTACTGCGCCTGCTGCGCGAAATGCATCTTTCCAGATCCTCTGCAAATGTCCCACGCCTGCCATCGTTTTTGAAACTGCTGCAAAACCGTCAAGTTTTGCTCACTTTTGACAAGGTGCACAATCCCTTGCACCTGCCACGCAAAACGACATCTAAACGCCCGAAAGTGGTCCGAGACCGTCATTTTTAAACATTTTTGATTTGGAAACGTGCTACAACGCCGCGCGCTTTTTTGACATCTCAACTTCAAAAAGTGCTCCGAACCTGGTGTGTTTTGTGCATTTTGACTTCGAAATGTGCTTTGCGCCTCAACGGCATCCACTTTTTTGACATCTCAACTTCCAAAAGTGTTCCGACACTGAGGTGTTTTGTACATTTTGACTTGGAAAAGTGCTTCGAGCCACAACGGCGTGCAGGAATGGTTCAAGCAACACTTCCCTGTGGCTTCCCTGTTTCCAGAATTTGGAGGCAAACGGCATCCGTCCTTGCATCTCAATTTCCAAAAGTGGTCCGAGCATGGTGTGTTTTTAGCATTTTGACTTGGAAACGGACTTCGCGCCACAACGGCGTGCAATTTTTCATATCTCATTTGGCCAGATGGCTCCGCACCCGCAGCTTTAGCGAGCCTACTTTTCGACCCTCCGGAGCTACACATCATTGGAGGAAGACAGTGAATCGTGACTTTTCTACCTTTTCGCGCGCCTGCATCTTCTTTCTTCTCACTCTTTCTCTTCTCTGATCTTCTTTCTTCTTCTCTGCTCTTCCCTGACTCTTCCCACCTGTGCTTTACATCTGTTCATATTGTCGGAAGTTTGACTTCTAAACTTCTTTCGGTAACTGTTATTGTCATTAATACATATTAATACCTTTATTTATGCACCCATATATTGACGTCATGATTATCATGGTCAGCCTGCGATGGGTCTTCGACCTGAGAGCCATGGCGTTGAAACACATGCTTCAGCCATGCATTCAATGCCTTCTATGTATTCAATGTATTCATGATATACCGTAGTTTTGTGGTGCCCCGGTGGCAGGCAGACAATGCCGCGCTCAAAGCAGAGATCAAAGATGAGAAGGCAGACAAGGCAGACAAGACAGACGCTGCAGACGCTGCAGACGGTGAGCGAAGGACCTGGTTGCCCGACCAGGACTCATAGCTGCAGTGGCTCTATCCTCACATGTGTGCAGCAAACCGAAATGGATGGGATACTGATGGGATATGATGGGAGACTGTATCCTGATGCCTTTTTGAGGCCTTTTTGATCCCTTTTCTCTTATGTTGCTTGCCTCTTCTTCAATGTTTTCCATTCACGTATATGATGTCAATGCATCAGTCATTCTTCCGAGGAATGTCTATGCAGTGCAGACTGTCCTCCACCACATCCCTGGGCTAGCTCCGCGTTTCCTTTATGCAAATCCAGGTGCGATCAGCTGGAAACATCATATTACTTTATTACTCGTTGCAGCTTGCTTTCAGCGGTTGAAACCATCCACATCAAGGTTTTCCACCCTGCGTGGTCCTGAGTTTGTCCAAAGTTACGACCCAGCATGATCATTTTGGTCAAGATGCTGGCTGCCCAAAGTGTATTAATTAGGGCACATCTTGATGATTGTGTGATTGTTTCTTTTGCTATGCCAGGAGATCTTGCTCTGAAATCCACGGCCATCGAAACTTTCTTCTATGGCATGAAACCTCGGTACCCTGCGGGAAGGGGCTACGATTTGTACCAGAATCAGACCCTTGTAGGCAAACTATAGGAGTTTTTTTCATTCTTTACCCCCTACTTTGGCTCAAAATGTCAATTTCCTTCTGTTTCCTTCATATTTATTTAGATTTCTTGAACACTCGGGAAGATCTGGGCATCAGATGTCAGCACATGTCACATCATGTCACCAGATGTCACCGGTTTGCGAAAGTCGTTTAAGTGGCACGTGGCACGTGGCACGTGGCCCAGGTCCATTGCCGAACGGCTTGGACAAGTTGGAGCGGCGATCCCCCGCAGCCTTGGACAACGCGATCGTCGGGTGTGGGTTCCACTCACCAAGCGCGTGGCTCAGCGGATCGAGCAGCGCTATCCCATCTGGCTCAGTTTCGTTCGTTCGCACCGTGCCTTGGCGATGCCGCGATGGGATCGGAGTGGGTACACTGGGTACACATCAGAAGTCTTCGAGTTTATAATAGTTTAATATAGTTTATACATGTTTATACTATAAAGTTTATACGACTTTATGATTTCACTATATTTTATCATTCATATGATTTCATCATATGATTGTCCATGTTTTCTTGAGATGTTTGACTGTATTGGACCAACACAGCGCATTGACACACCAGGTTCATACTGATTTTAGTCTTCCTGCTCTGTTAAACTAGAATGGTCTTGAATGTAGTTCTCGAACGTTGCCAGGCCGCGGCAAGTACTCTTCAAAGGTAAACTCGTGTGGCACGCCCGAAAGCGAGAAAGAAAATAGCAAGGAGGAGTCGCTGCAGGGCGTATGGTGGTGGTACCTGACATCACATCCACATTCGGGCATCCGTCACCATGGAAAGCTGTTTGAAGAGAGGCACGGCCCGGAGTCTGTAGAGCCTGTTGACATGCAAGCAGCGTTGGACGGGAAATCTTTTGCAGTTACAGGGGCTGTTTGCAGTTCTTCGTTGTCGGGACTAGAAGCATTCCTCAAAGGCCACAAGAGACACTTGGCACTTGGCCAAGAATTTTGAATAGAAACAATGATGCACAGGTGAGTTTCCTCGGTTCTGTTTGCGGAGTCCACTGTAGGCCATTGAGTGACAGTGATGGATGGGAGCAGTTGCTGGATGACCCTGATGCAACTGTGGTGACAATGGCCTCTAGTGGTGGGACAATGGGGCGTACAGTCGCAGAAAGGCGGCAACTACGTCATAAACTCAAGGGCCTCATCACATTGGAGACACTTGGAATTGTTGAAGGATAATTATTTGAGGACATGTTGCTCCATGTTGATCTATGTTGCTCCTACATGCTGCATCATGCTGCTACTATTTGCGACTCCTTGTGACCGACTCCTCTGACATGAATCCTTTTATTTTATCCATGGAGGAATGCTGTTCTGTCATTATCTGTCATTTGTCATGGGACACATTCCAATCCGAAACAGACTTTGCTTTGCAGAATCATGGCATGATGGCCAAAGCCTGGTGACCATTCAGGGGGAATGTAGAGATAGGTCAGCTCACTCAAGTTTGGTCGCTGTTAGTTTTTCCTCATGATATGACCAGTTGGACCAAGTTGGAAAAATGAAAAGAAAGGGGCCAACTCAGCCAAGTCTCACCCCAAAGATCAAGATATGGGGGCATCACCGTTGCATCACCGTTGCATCACCGTTGCATCACCGTTGCAGCACGTGGCAACGCCCTCACGATCAGGATCTCTTCGCACGGCGTTCCTGGGGAGTCTGACGTGCAGGATGAGGAAGAAGAAGCAGCCGAAGAGATCATGAACGATCCCGAACAGCAGGATTTGACAGGGGTGCCATCCCAAAGGGTGTTGTAAACCTATTTTGCAGGCGCATTCATATTTCCAACAAACTTTACGGGTTTCAGAACCGCTGAATGTGAAGAATTAATCCCACATGTTACCATCAGAAAGGAGCTGACAGCCATGGCAGAATCTTTGATCCACTGTCTACCCACTGTTTACTTGCTGTACCAGGACGCTGTGACAGCCATTGGAAGATACCTCCGGTCAGAGAGCTGAGCGCCAAGGGAAAAACGGAACGACTGAACAAGAAAAAGATGGTATGTGATTGGTTTGCAGCTGCATGCAGCTGCTTATGACATGATGTGCCACACGATGCCATGCGATGACATGTGATGACTTGCAATCACATAAAAGATGGCTAGTGTGATTTAGACATAACCTGTTTAACATATTATAACAGATGTTTTAACTTGACAATCATACCAAAATTACATGAAATTACATGAAATTAGCTACAGCTTGGTACAACTTATACGACAATCAGATCCATCGTCGGAAGTTGTCGTATAAGTCATGGATGGTCTCACTGCTTGGACGCTCCAGGCGCCTGGAGCGCACGCAGCAGAGCTCCTCCAGCAGGGTGCAGAGTTGCGCTTCCAGATTTGGCAAAACGAGGTTTGGGCGAAGCCAGGCAGATCATGGCAGATCTGATGGGTCGCTTTATTGAACGCATTTGATCACAACTCTTTTAGATCTTTTAGCTTTATTTTAACCAATCTTTTCTCATTGGTCAATTCATGTCATTACAAGGTGAAGTGACATCGAGTCTAGAGTTTCAAATCTATCATTTCTGCAGTTTGGTTGTGTGTTGCTGCGAGGTCTTAATTGAACATCAACAATTTGTATGTCCAGCCATGTTCATACATGTTCATACACGTATGCATCTCGTATGCGCTTCTGATGTCTTCTGATTTTAAGCTGTGGTGTTTCCACGTGGGACATCGTGGGACGACATGGGGCTTGCAGTTCGGCATTTGGGCAGCGGCAGTTTCGCCAGCGTGTGGGAGTTGAGTCTCAGGCGCTGGGATATGTTGACCTCAACATCCGTTCAGCTGCAATACCTTGCCATTTTCATCCATTTTCGAAGGTTTCTACCGCTTAACTTTTTGGGTGTTTTGCGAAGAATGTTGAAGGCGGGTGATAGTTGCCCTACGACTGAAGTATATTTCCAGCGTATGGCCTTTCTCAGTAATAGACATGTCTGACAGGTCGTCTGCAAAAGTGCCTGAGCTTGCTGTTTTGAAGCACTTCCCTCCCATTGATGCGGCCGTGGCAGCTTTCTTTGGTTCTGAACTGCTAGGAGCCGCAGACCTTGTGCATCCTTGTCAAATCTTGTCAATATCTCACATGAGAACATTGGTGCGGAAACGTTGTGCCCCAGGACAACATCGTCAACAGTGGCTGAAAGAGAAAGCTCCTTGTTTGAGGATGTTCAAGGCATTGATTGAAAAACCAATGAAAGGCACATGCATTGCACAACTTCAATGAGTTGTTGAATATTTTTCGGAGGTAAACTACGCCTAATGCAGCATGCATAACGGGTTACAACATACTATAACTACGTATACCATATAACATACCATAGCATACCATGCTATAAAACATTATAAAACGTTATAAATTATAAATTATCATAAATTATAAAACGCATTGCAATATATTACCAGTTGTTTCAGTTGTTTCTTCATTTTTTTCCTTGTCAGAAATCGACTTCGAACTTCGACGGCCGAGGTCATTGGTGAACGCCTTAGCCACGTGGCCTCGGATCGACGGCGTCACGTAGCAGCCCTGCTGGCAGCGCAACCGCTCTTCACGCAGCTGGCAGAGGCCGATTTCGCTCCAAAAGGGACAAGAATTAGAAAACTCAATTGCAGGATTTGCAGGATTTGCAGGATTTGCAGGTACTCCAAGTACCTCTTCTCTTTTGGCACCTGAACATCAAGAGCTCCAAAGGAACAGAAGGACACCACAAACAACAAACCAAGAGTTTTGCATATGGATTTTTCATGACTTTTTTTTCTGTAGTTCAGGCTTGACAAATTGCACAAGAAACTTGACAGTCTCTGTTGACAAGCTGTGCTAGGATGCACCAGCAAATCAAGAACTGATGCTGGTCTTGGAACATGCAGGCGCGGGTTGTTTTGGGCTTCAACCCGTGCAGAGGTCGATGTTCGGATCCTGCATCCCTCATTGAAAATTGGACGAGCTCTCCTGATCGGCACTTGGGCCTCGCTGTACCCCCAGGTCATGTCATCCACAACAAGTGATTGAACTTTCTCTTCAGCCACTTCTCTACTTGACTTGCAACAGTCCGTTGACCTCTTTTCCCAACACTTTGCTCCAACAGTTGCTTTCAATAACTTCTATTGTCTTCAAAACATTTCAAAACTTTTTACACTGCTTTTTACTGCAACACTACTCCTCTCTCCCTGCATTCCTTACCTTGTCACGTTGCCCTCAGCACTTCTTTAAGTTTTCTTCCAATTCTTCATGTTCTATTCTTCCTTCATCTTCCTTCAACTTCAACTTTCATTGCAAACACTTTCATTATCTTTCATTGACAATGCTTCCCGCTTGGAACTTGCTTCAACATTTTCACCAGCAGTTTTGCCGCTTTCGACGGTTTTCTCAATACTCCTCCTTTTGTGGTGTTTTCACTCGACGAGCTGAACATATTTGAACAGTTTTTGGCAGAAACCGTGCATTCAAAGCCCACACTCCCCGACAACGCTTCTTTCCACATTCTTCTCTCAAAATCCCTTCGCATTTGATTTGTCCCAGACTTGATTGTTGTCACAAAGGCTTCTGTTGACTCTCTCTCTCTCTCTGTCTCTCTCGCGCGCGCACAAATCCTCAAATACGTACACAATCGCAGACTTCCACGCCAATGCAAGCTGCGCTGGAATACCCAGCAATGCGGCAATACCATGCAATACCAATACCATCAATACCATCAATACCCGCCTTTCGTCCCCATCATTCCCCATCCCTTTACTATCTGTACATATTACATATCTGTACGCAGCGTGTCCTGCGAGGCCATCCTTTGGATGAGAACCTGCCAAGTCCTGAGCTTCGAAGCTGCTATGTGAGTCAACTCCTGGATGCAGTGGCTCGGCGGAAGTCATTGTGAGTCAAGGGAGACGTGCAGAGTCACCATAGATCACCATTGAAAAATCTCATGAATTCTGATGATACCTGTAGATTTTCCATAGATTTGCCGTAGATATCTGCGGATCATGCCTTTCTGTGTCTACTCATGTCCACTATATTTCTTTTTTTGTGTCCACTTCCAGTGGAGGAAACAGGAAGCACTTCATTCGAAGTCTTCGATGTAGTGTTTGGCACGCTCAGGTGGATCTCTTGAAAACTTGTAATGTGGTTCATGCTGACATATCTGGAAGCAATTGCTGTGTGGATGGACACGTAGTTCGTTTGGTCGACGCTTGGCTGCGCTTTGGCCCTTTGAGCACTGGACCTCTGTGACACTGGATGTTCTCCTGGCAGATGCAATCCACATGAAACTACATGAAGAACATTGAAGAACATTGAAGAACATGGCCGAATATTTTCATTGAATATTATTTTTTTGCAACCAATTCGATAGAGGCAGAGCTTGTTGCCAATAGCTGAGCTGTGCCATGACCATGGGTCTCCCGCGTTATTCTCAAGCTTTCTTGCTGTTTGACGACATAATGGGACCAGGACTTTGGAAATGCGGTGATTGTGGAACCCGGGCGCGCCAGCAGTGGCAAGCTGGAGCGATTGCGTCACGAAGCTGCACCTCAAGTGTCAGCCCTTGTCTTATGGCAAAACCTGCAGAATGCCGAAGCAGCGCAATCTCTGATATAAATCAGATTTCAGCCCTCAAGTGACTCAAGTGCCCGAATCCCCTGCGTGTTGCATTTAAGGTTCGCGTTATGTGCACCATCGGAAGTTTCCATGTAGCGAGCGCTACGCGTATCATGGCGCGCAGCTTTGAGTTTGGCCCAGGACTTTGGAGATGCTGCCACTTTTGAGCTCTCCAAGAGCCTGACACAGAACGATGCAGAAACATGTCATCGACCTTGATGCCATCAATGGTGAGGGTCTATTGGATTTAACATGATTTAATTAGAATCATCTAGATTCATTTAGAATATATTAGACTCTAATTGTCGCCTTTTGAATCCAGTGGCTCCAAGGTACCCCCACTCATTGCAGAGATTGATCAGTGACATAGAGCATCTTGGAGAGACATTTCCTGACACGTGACATTTCACGCAACATGGAAGCAGTGCTACAGTGCTACGACCGGTCTATGGGTGTTGCGGGATGTTGCGGGTGCTTGGTCCAAGATCTCCAAGGCACCCCTGTGGCATCGATGTCTACGACGGCACTTACGATTGCGAGGCCAAGATAGAGACACCGTGAGATACCGATGATGCGGCAACAGCTGGGTTGTAGCTGGTCATAGCTGGTTTGAGCAGACTTCAGCTTTTGATTTAATATATATATATATATATAATATATATATATATTAAAAAATATAGTTCAGGCTCGTGAACATGATTTTCATTGTAACAAATTGTAATTTGCACAATACGATTGTTCCAATCTAGTTCCAATCGATTGTTCCATTGATTCCGTGTTGTGCGTGTTTTGCTTCTCATTCCACGCTAGTGACCTGCCTTGACAGCCTCGACAGGCCTTCTGCGGCAATCTTGCTGCCACACCACCGGAAGCTTTGAGGGGCACGCTGCTGGCTGGTGCCAGTGATGTTTATGGCCAGAATCCTGGAGATGAAAGAGACTCAAAATGATTGCTCGGTGATCAATGGTGCAAAGAACTGCACGGTTTGCACCCAGATGGATCATTTTGATTCATTTTGCCTTTTGGTGACCCCTAGGCGTCAACACCGAGAGAAGTTTGCAATGCGGCAAATTAAGTTTCATTCAGCCCTAGGGTCAAACTTTGTCTCGTTTTGTCCTAGGCGTTGGGATCCTTTTCTGGTGGCTGCTGACTGGCGAGGACCGGGGTTTGTGTCAAATTTCCAACTGGCAAAGAGAAACATTAGCAATGTGATGCAATGTGTCATTGCTGGATGATCTTGATATATCTTGATGCGTCTTCATATGTCTTCATAGAGTAGGTTTTAAATGGCCTTGGATGGCCTTGGATCTTTTATGGCATGGGAGGAATCGCAAACATGTCGGCTCAAGACTAGCAACGCTTTAGCTCCAGCGCAGACGAATTCCAGAAGCCCAGATTTTTTCTGATGGAAGAAGGCCGAGTCACTGACGGGTTGCATGTGCTGATAGATTTGAATCGAATCTGATAGCTTTCAACCTTTGAGCATTTTGAGCGCTTCACCAGAGATACAGTAAATCGTAGAGATAGCAAGGAAATAGACCGAAGATGAAGAGTAGAGATGAGTAGAGTATGAATCCTGTAAGGGCCACACCAATCCCACACCAATTCCATAGTGGATCCATAGTAGACCCATGCTCAGTGTCCCATGGCTGCAGGCGATGCTGGAAGGGTAGAAGAGTCGATGCAACGTGCACAGCGGGCTATGGAACAAGCCATGCTGGACCTGGAACGCCAGGAGTTCTGTCACAGTTCTGTCATTGGGAGTTGCAGATTTACATTTCGAACATGGCCATGGCGGCCATTTTCATAGATTTTTTCTAGGTGATTGATGATATTGATAGACTCTGAGTAGATTGTAATCATTGTAGGGATGTGGCAGGGATGCAATGATAGATTCAGGGCAAAAGCCTAACCCAGCTGATTGTTTTTCCGTGCTGATGGCAATGGGCAGGAGGAAGAAAAATTCAGAAAGGTCTACCAAATCCTGGAAGAGTGTCTCAGTTGCGACACTTCAGACTAGAAAGCAATACAATGATTATGATTTACTGTATACTTAATTATATTATAATGCCATGGTGAATGCAACAGTTCGTAAATTTAAGGCATGTCAGTGGTTAGGTCATGGTCATGTCGTTCTGGTGAAGGGTGCCATGTCACCAAGGCTTGCAGCGAAGCAAGTAAAACTGGAACGCGACGTAGCGAACCTGCTGTCTGCCAGAGGCTCTGACGGAATGTCCACAGAGAGTTTAGGTTAGCCATGTTGGCACCTGTGATTTCCCACATTTTCCCACACGTTATTTTTATTATATTTTGATGTATATATATATATATATATATATTAACTATTACTATTATTTATTATTATTATATTTTATTTCTTCACCTTTTGACACGATGGAGATAGACATGCCGGTGGAGATGCGCGGTATTTTGGAAGGCAACGCTTTTCCCGTCGCTGGCTTCGACGTGGTAGCGGTGCAGTATAGATCCTTTGGCCGCAGTAAGTCACTAAGCGCCCAACATGCCCGGTCAAGCTGGTGGTTTGCTCGACCTGAACCACTACCCACCATAGTTTTGGAATATTTTGGATAAGTTTATGCTATTCACACCGCGCCACAGTTGTGATATGAGCCAGCCCTGTCAGCTTGAAACCGTGATGCAAACTGAGGTGCGCTTCCGCATGAATATGCGATGGAGAGTGGATGGAAGTGCCAATTTGCAAGCACTTGATTTGCTTGCCCACGCGATTGCAGTCTTTAAAAGGGTGATGAGCCCTACTCGTAGCAATTCAGAGAAACCTTCATGACCTTTCCACTGGCGAGAAAAAAACATGCGCCAACTTGTGCAATGGTGTCGAAGTGTCACGCCGTGGGTGGAATATTCATTGCCCAGTTTACTCGAGACCCTTATGACTTGAAAAGAGTTGCCTCATAATGGGCCTAACGGGTCCATTCCGCCCATTCCGCCCTGCAGGAAACGCCTTTTGACGTCGAGGTGGACGACGATCGCATCTCGTTCCCAGGTGCGGAATCTTTCCGTCGGCACGAACGTGTTGCTTAGCTCTGGGATCTCTGGGAGGCTGGCAGCGTTTCTATGCGAAGAGCAGTGAGAAGCAGATTGAGGACAACAAACAACATCAAGCAACACGCACAAAACAACTGCTTTCAACATTCTTTCAACCACCTGCCCTGCTGTTTGTTGAATGGTGCTGCGATGCAACGTATATGTCTGTATATAATATATATATACGTATATATCTGTTAATACCTCTACGGCAATATACTGTACTGATTTGCTGTGCAGTTATTTTATAATCCATTGAAAGCGATGATAGTGCTGTGGTTGTCAAACTCGTAGTTGGAACCAGGAGCTGGAGCAACGTTTGAGCGGACGCCTGCAGGATGAGGATGTGGAAAAAGCTGCAAGGTTGGGATTTGCATGGGTCACTCAGGGTCACTTCAAAATCTTCAAATCCTTGGGGAGAAGATATCCAGATCTGCAGGTGGCTCACCAGCGCTTTGGCAGAGATTCCAGAGCAAAGGATCTGGGCAGCTGAGAGGCCTCCACTGAAAAAGAACCCGTCCAAGTACCGTCGAAGTTCATGTTACACTCATGTTGGATATGGGCACCGGCTTCACGGCTTCACAGCTTCACGGCTTCACCGTAGATTCACAGATTGCCTTGACATTTGAGCGCTCCAAGCACCACTTCCGCTCCAAGCGCTCCAAGCGCTCCAAGGTCAAGAGATTGAGTGGTCCAAGGCAACAGGGAGGTCCAGGGAGGTCCAGGGAGGTCCAGGGAGGTCCAGGGAGGTCCAGGGAGGTCCAGGGAGGTCCAGGGAGATGCGAGATTCTTGCGAGGTGCAGGTCATGGCGTCATGGAGTCATGGCTCTAGACAGCCTGTCTTGGGCGGCACGACATGCTGAGTGTTTAGAGAAGTTTCTTCCACCGAGTAGCATACTGTACTTGAGTGCCAGAAAATCGGTGAAGACGCCTGGGGAACAACAAAAAAACAACATGGAAAACATTGGAAAACATGAAACCCATTTTCAGCCGACCTCAGATCAGCTCACCAGCCATCGCCGAGCTTTGTGATGCGCCAGTGCCTCAAGAGTTGGCAGATGGCGATCATTGTAGAATTCCTGGGTTTATGCGCCACAAGCATCAGTCCTTGCACTGGCAGGTCATTCTATTTTGATGCTTTTGATCATGAGCACTCTTCTTGACGCCCAGCCACTCTCACCAAACATGGTTCATTGCATGTCCCTGGCCCATGCACATCTTCAATCATAGCACATTGTACACAAGAGCAACTTTGGATTCATTTTTTGGCCAACATTTTCTCCGCACATCTCTGAGCCATGATGGTGGTAAACCTCTACTATGAGACAGCTCTCAACCAGATATGATTTGGCAGCTGAATTCCCATATGGACATGTACCGAGCAGAAAAGACATTTGTGACTGTGACTGTGACCTATCACAGGATTTTGTGAAGCAAAGGCTTTAGGATCAAACAGCTTTAAGATATTTCAAGATTCAAGACTTTGCCGTTTTGCACGGATCTTAGATCCAGGGCCCGCCGTCATGGCATGGCTTCTGCAACACTGTGCCGCTGCATTTGTGGCAGCCGCGATGAATGGGACCGGCACGACGTGTCCAGTGCACCCGGCATGCCGCCACTGGAGGAGGTGCAAGAGGACTGGGCCATCTAGGCCTCTAGGGACCAGTGATGATAGTGATGGTTTTTCTGGACGGGTTATGATGGGTTATGACGGGTTATGACGGGTTATGACGGGTGAAATGATGTCATAACGCTGTCAAATCATGCAAGAGTATGCAGCATTTGGATACATTTGGGTCATGAGGGTATGGTTGGCATGATGCCGACATGGGTTTCTTTCATCATTGACCGTTGATTGTATTGAGACAAGTTGGTGGCCCAGCCTGACATGAGTGAGTCAACTCGCTCATATTGCTGAGTCCTGTGACGTTCCAGGAGAAATGGACCCCGGCTCCGAAGGCTGCAGGGAGAATAGCTTATTCCATGTCAGCTGACCAGCAACTGAGAGGTGTTCCCATTCGCGAGGGGGATCTTTGGCACTTGTCCACCGAAGAGACTTGTCCAAAATATTCCAAAATTACATCAGAGATTTTGGCACTATTTGGCACTTGTACAGCATCTTAGGTCCATCAGATAGGTGAGACTTGCTCCGAGTGCCGTTGTGCAGTATTGCCTGTGCAGCTCCATATAATTTGCAATCGAATTCAGCAGGTGGTTGCCTGTTGCTTTCAGTCTGCAACTGCAAGCCCCTTTGTCATTTTGAGAGTCTTCAAGAGCCTGTGTTCCAAGGAGAGAGTGGACCAGGTGCGAGTGTTTCTCCACGTGAATGGTTTTCGTTTCTCAACCGATGGTCAAGAAGTTTCTATATCGCTCACGCCCTTCACCCTGGTCCGGAACTGCAAATTTCAGTGCCCTAGCCGATTGGATTTGGACGCTTTTGTTCTTGTGTCTCATTGTGTCTCCAATGGAACGCCAACCACACATAAATCATCATAAATCATTCATCATCATAAGAATCATAATCCCCATGTGCCTGTTTGATTATCTTCCAGGAGCAACCACAATGGCATGAACTTCTCGGAGTTCAAAATCTTCAAGATCTCACTCTTTGCACAGGGCGCCTGCTACTACTTTGGAATTCGAGGGGTCAGTGAGCGTGATGCTGAAGAAGAGCGATCACGTTGGGTGCTGGATATTTCGCGGATTATGAGACTCGTGACGCAGTCCTTGTTTCCCATCTTTCAAATTTCCTGCGATCCGATTAAGAATGGGGAGCTTTCAGAGTCCCGCTTGATGGCAGGCTATTTGGTACATTATGACGATTGCTTCACGGCGTCGGTTCTATACTGTGAGTTGCATGTGAACACACCAGACCACGCCCGCTTTATTTTCTATGAAGATGAGACCTGTACACATCAGCTGAGCGAAATCTATGTTACTGAGCGGTCCATTTGCTGCGAGAAGATTGGCAGCTTGTCTTGATATTCTTGATCATTTAGAGGCGAATAAGGAGAGAAATCTGTGGCAAACGATGGCAAACGGCAAACATCGGCAAACGTATGTATACGTACTGTGTTCTCAGAGGCATGTGAGACTAACGAGGTAAAGTTATGTAAAGTTGTGTGCAGTGTATGTTGAGCAGGCGGGTTTTCACCTGGTGAAGGTATCAACTGCAGCTGCTTTTCAATCGAAGATCACCAATTCACGGCTCGATCATTGGGTGAGAGAAAACTTTGGCTGCGAGCAATCTCCAACCTTAAGGTGGGATATGGTGGGATCCAGCGGGATTGGGAGTGAGGCTAGGCACGCACAAATGCGCAAATGCGTCCGTGTATGTTCAACTTGTAATGCACATGATTTAGTGTTTCCCTTTAAACGTACACACACACACAAACACATCTACAAATATACCGTACTTTCCAGTGCAGATGCAAAGAGAGAGATAGATAGATAGAGAGAGAGAGAGGGAGTTACGCGATCTTGCTTGGACATGGCCAGGTTTTCATGCATTTGCACATGGCCGCGTTGCACTGCAGTCTCTTTCTTTGCACGCACGTGACAAGCTTTTAGAAATTTTAGCATCCCTAAGCCCATCAGACATTGTCCTCTCAGTGCCAGGTGAAACTGCAGAACGGTGCGCCACCACCCAGCCAGGAAGAGATCCTTGAATACAGGGCTGCTATTAAGGACAGCCTCCCCTGCCATGAAAAGCCACAGGAAGACACAGGAAGGACATGGAAGGACCTCGAATGTAATCACGATATCATCTTGAGACACAGACTCAATGGGCTCGTAGGATCTCATATGTATGTGACTGGAGGTTCAATATTTTCATATATTTTCATGCATCCCTGCAGTGAATGGTTAAAACGGGGATTATTCAACCTCAGTTGTCAGCGTCAAACATCTCAATGGTTTCAATCTCTTTCCGCACATCTTCACCAAGTCTGGGGCAAACCAAAAGTCAAATCCGCAAGACCAGCCATTGATCAGCCGGCACAGGAGCACGTGGCAAAGATCCACGGCCTCGACAACGTGAAAACGGATGCGTTGCTCCAACGAGCCGAAGCGCCCATGTGGGCCGACTCCCATGCGCCGGACGAATGCACCGCGCTCGACGGGGCCTTTGCCCTGGCGTTGGCGCCGAATCTGGGCACGTTGCCATCGCCGCCGTCCCACTTGGACCTACGCATCGACAGGCCCGGACGCCAGGACGCACAGCCGGAAGGACCTACCCAGTAGGCTCAGTATCCTGATATATATATATATATATCTGATATATCCTGATTATTGGCATTCGCCTTGTGGTTGTGTGACTTTCCTTGTCCTTTTCCTTTTCATGATGCTTGTGACTTGTGATTAATTAGTTGTTCTTGATTTCGTTTCTTAGCTTGTTTCTCGTCTCATCTCGACAGCCGACTCTGGCAGACCTATGGCAGCTGACCAGCATGGCCACCCTTTGCAAGATGCCTCGGTGTCTTCTTCAACCTCAGCAAAACTGCAGAGATCTTCGTCCTTGCGACTTGGCACGAAGGTGATGAAGGCAGTGACACGGCGTTGGTAGATACGATGACTGTTAACAGTGGGCCGGGCTAAATGATCCAAACGCTGAAACCAATTTAGATAACTGAGACAGCCTAGACAGCCTAGACAGCCTAGACAGCCTAGACAGCCTAGACATTGATAAAAACTGTAGGTACAGGCTGTCGGGAATGGGGGCCCGAGGACCGAACCTCCACGGAGGTATTGGCTGTACGGACGTGAAAGAAGCAAGTCATTCGAGCAACCGCTTCCAAAACCCGAAGGATGAGAGTGATGAAAATGTGCCAAAATCATCCAAAATCTGCAACATGTGGCCATTACCTTTGTGGATCCCTGTGGCAGTTTGCCACGGGGTTTTCTTGATGTGGTCGCCTTCACCTGTGGCCCAGAAATCGTGGGCCTCCAGAAACTCAATGGACAAAAAAGATCATAAAAGATCAAAAAAGACTGCAGGAGTTTTCATGATGCGCCATGGTTGAAGTCATTGACATTCGCATTATGTGACATACATAGACTCAGACATACAGTACTGACATAGAATGCTTAGGCTGGAACCAAGGCCAGGCAAGCGGAAATGGCTATTTCTGGGCAGTGCATGTCGAAGGGCATCAACGATTCAGCCACGCTGTGAATGGTTGATACAATGGTTCACACTACAATGACCTGCCCGTGCCAAGCTGTGAATCTGCCTGCTGATTTTGACGTGATTACTTCGTGATTACTTCGTGATGTGTTCAAAAAAGATTTGTTTTTCTGTGGCTTGCGGCATCGCAGATATCACATCTTTGGCGGTGCAGATTTGTACTACCAGCGAGCGCAGTGGCCTCAGCCAATTCCACGTGAATTGCAATATTGATAGCGACGAACACAGAGACATACCTTGTAGAATGCAGTGCCCTATAAAATCCTATAAGTACCTATGCATGACATTTTGGAATCAGCCAGGGTTTCCATGTCAATGGTGGGTTGTGTGCTTGACAGAATGAAGGCCTTCCACTCTTTGCACTCCTCTTGTGTTGCCTCGAAGGCCGTTTCAGACGAAAGACGGTGGCCACGTTTGTCGATGCATTGCTCTGGGGAGGGCCATATCCTGAGCAACACTTTGTCAGTGTCAAAAATGATTTACAAGTTACAAGATATCAATTGCAAAATCTGCAAAATTATCAATTGCTTGATGGTACCATGTAGTACAGTATCCACGAATAGCACATGTCTCGCAGTGCGAGCCCGTTGGGATTTTTGGCCAGGTCGCCTCCAAAGGCAAGGCACGCTCAGCATTCCACGGCCAGTGGCCCCGGAATCGCCCATGGCGGCATGATGATCGAGATTTTGAACATTCAGCCAAGGACATATGATATGACATATGTATACATATATGTATAATATGTAAATCGATATCATTCGATATCATTCGATGTTTTGTTGATCATAGCAGACTTATGTCATTTGCTTATGCTTAATTCTTATGATTAACTGATGATTCTTATGCCAGGTATTCTTTTGATTGATCTCCGTTTTTCATGTTTTTCGGGATCTATGATGTGGGATTGCAATTCATGACAACATGCTAGCCGCAGAGTGCAGGCAACCTCACATGCTTGACGATTCAAATGAGGCCTTTCACTGAGCCCGGCAGCCACCATGCCAGAAACTGCCAGGATCTTATGCAAAGCTCAAGGAAGACCTTAGGCCATACGGCTATACAATAGGAGATAGGATGGAGATAGTAGGAGTAAATCGGATTGTGGAACCAACTTGGTTAACTTGGTTCTATTGGTACTTTGCGCCCACCCAAACGGCAATCACATGAAGCTGTTTCTGTTAGGTGCTGAAGCAACGTCCAGCCAATACAACGCCAGGGGGCCTTGATTTCGAGCTGTCATGAACCAACAGTGAACCAACTGTTTTTTTGTTGGCGATTCATCTTGATCCCACGGGATCAGCATGGATCAGCTGTGCAACATTCTCAGCTGCAACATTCTCAGCCGGTTGGGGAAGGCCGAATCCGTTTGTAACGGTGACAGCGCCTAGATCTTGCCTCAGAGAACGCGTCATTGACTGCGGCACGTTCAGCTGTTGAGTGACGATTCGTGAAATCAAAATTGCCTTGTTTGCACCAAGTACTGTTGAAATCTGTTGAATCACCAAAGTTCCACCGGAGCCGAATACCTGAGTCGAGGTGAGCGGGAGAGCACAAAGCGAGATGCCTCCGCTATGGAGGACATATCTCGAGTTAGGCCGAAATATCTCGAGGTAGTATCGTTTGCCCTGGTGATGTTGTGCGTTGAGGAGCCAGAAGAAGATCCTATCGAGCCAGACACCGTCTTTCTGGGTGACAGCCTCCGTTGACATGGATTGACAACGACATCAGACTTTGATGCTTCAGATGATGAGTTGCAGTTGTCAGATCTGCGCAGGGTCTCACAGTCCCAGATCCAACTCTGAAGCTCCAATTCTTTTTGGAGTCGGAGTAAGAATAGCAAACGCACTTGCAAGAAGGGCCTTGTGCCCTGAGCAAATGGTGCAGGCCGCTTGCCTGCGAACATCGAAGAAAAGCGAATCCAGGCAAAGTGCTGATAGCTTGCAGACAGAATCCTTGCAGAACAGACGCTTCTCAGCCTAGAGTATCCCCAAACAGTTCAAGGTCAAGTTATGTCAAGATAGATATCAAATGATATATGATATATCAATTAACCTCAGGCAAAAAAGTGTAGGAATAACTATAACCCACACAACTTGATAACAAGAAATATCTTGTCTTCTTGCATTGCTCTTTGATGCTTTGCTTGCAGAAGTGACATGAAGTGACTCTGTGGTGGAGGCAGCGCTGAAGCACGTGGGAAAGATCGAACGCGTGCATTTGGCCAGAGAAGCAGGCTCGTGGTTCAGGGCGCGAACAAAGTTTTGAACTCTTTGTGACAGTTCTGAATATTAGGCACTTCGATCCGTGGTGTCTCGATCTAACTCAGAAGCCAATAGGCTTTTAGGGCTCTTGTTTCAGGCGAAGGCAGCCCTTGCAAAGGCTTTGGTCCGGGAACCTGAACCTGATGGACCTGATGCAAGATGTTGCAACTGCACGTGGGAAAAAAAACTGGCCAAGGCTGGGTGACCTTCTCTACACCCGAGGAGGCAGAGGCGAGGTGACAAATCCGGTCCCAGAGGAATTGACATAGCATGAACAACATGAAACATCAACCGTTTTCATGTGCACAGCCGTGAATGAAGAATTGGGCTGCTGAAATGATAGCCTGATGCTCCACGCCTTTGGAGGGGGCAAAATTGAGAAGCAATAACCGTGGTCATGGGAAAATGATGGAAAATGCTACTCAAATGCAACAAAGAAAAGAGATGAAAAGAGTCCTGGGGAATTGGGCCAAACGCAAGGCACTTCAGTTCCGAGCCGAGGATGAGATATGATGAGATATGATGAGATATGTATGCGGATGTAACTGACATATCTGACATATCTGACATATCTGACATCAATGGACGAGTCATTTCTGGAGGCTGCCTGTGACCTCGACGGGATGCTGGATTGCGGCGGCAGGATGATCACCATCTCCATCAGTGACAGCGCTCAGTCGAGGGTTTTGGATGCACCAAACAGCTTCGAAACGAGTTCAACTTTTCACCTGATTTCCTGGTCCAAACACAATACAAGTCCAAACGTTACGACATGACTCAGCAAACGTTCTTTGATAATTATTCTTACACTGTATAACATAATATCTACATCCACATCGATCTACTGTATATATTATATTATATTATACTATATCATTATATATGTATATATCTGTGTGTTTTTTGGTTGGAGCGGATGGTTGGAGAACTCAGGTCGGCCGAAGAACAGAGATGGAGGTCCCAGGACGGAGCCTTTGGAGCTACATGAAGTTCACCGATTCAACACATTTCAACACCATGACACATCACAGGAAAAAGAACTAATCTTCGATGCAGGAAAAAGAAGAGAGAGATCCAAATCGTTGGCAGCCGAGACCGGAAACCGCTCAATAGGCTTCTCTGGATGTAGACCATGGGCCGTGTCAGGTGGTTGAGCCCCATGCAGATTGCCTCGCCGTCCTGATTGAAGCAGATCTGAGCTGGTGAATGTGGCTTGTCATGCTTGTCGATCTCCACAGATCTTCGCAGATCTTGGCAGGTTGGTTTTGTCTGGTGAACCCCAAGGCAGATTTCTGATGATTTCTGGTTTGGTCTGTTGCAGCAAAGGCCGCAAGTCCATGAGGTCCTCATTTCCAATGGAAAACATAGGAAACACAGAGCACTCAGAAATCAGGTGAAAAGAGACGTTTCTGACTGGTTCTGTGTGTCTCGCTGCTATTTGATGACTTGGAATGCACTTGGAATGCACTTGGAATGCACTTGTCAGATCTGTCAGGTGGAGAAGCACATGATAGTGACGGCTACCACAGAGGTTTACATTGCCACAGCGTCTTGAGCTCGATCATTGTGCACGAGAAAGATCCCTGAAGTGGATCCGGTGAAAGCTTTGGATATCGTTGGGTTCTAGATATTTCATGATATTTCATGATATTTCTAGATCTTGATGGTCTTGCCGACTTGAGGCGTGGGCCAGTGAATCCCTACCACGTTCAGGCCAAGAAATTCATATTCGAATGCCATCAGCCACAGCCACATTATATCATCCCATGGAACGTTTGCTTCCCAAATGGGCTGTCAGATTCTGCCAGTGAAGCACGCGCTTGTATCTTAGATGCTGTCAGGTTCAGTGAATTCCTGAAATCTGTGTTGTTAGCACAGTCGTTGGATCGATATGACTACGTCCGTAGAACTTGCATCATAGCCATAATATAGTCAGATGCATTTCATTAATTTCATTATATTCCTTCATTATTCCTTAATATGAATGACATGCAAGGACCATCAAGAACCCTTATTTGATGGGCCCAGCTGCGGAGCTAGGCCCTGCTTTGCTGCATGTCCGCCAGAGCTGCAGCAGGCTTTGCAGGCACAAGCCATGCAAACCCCACACATCCCTGAGGATCCTCAGGTATTTGTAGAGATTTTGTACATATGTGATTTGATGAGTTTTGATGATATTTGACATGTATATCATTGTATATCCCAAGGTTGATTGTTTGTGGTAGATCTCTCTCAGCTACAACCATTTTCCTATTGTGATCATGATTCAGATGCAATCCCAGCGGGTTGCTGAGTTGCGCTGTGTCTCAGGTGCAGTTAGCAGCGCTTCGGAAGATGTTCGAAGACGCAGGACGTCGACTGAGCGTCGACTGAGCGTCGACTGAGCACTGGGTACTGGCTCCCATCATTCATCCGCACTGCTCGATGTTCCTGTCACCAGGACAGGAGTGCCTGCTCGATTCTTAATCGGCTCCATGAATCTCCATGATACATATTCACAATTTGGGTTCACCTTAACGAACAAGTTTCATGACCTAAATCAATTTGATTTCATGTGATTTATTCGTATTTATTCGTCACATGTTGCTGCAGCCTTCTGTGTGTCTCAGGGTGTGGGAGCGCTGGATCCCAATGGGAAGCTCCAGCGCAAACCACATGTGGAAGCCTCAAGTCGGTCAAGCTGCGACAGTTGTGCTCCCCAAGCGGCGTTTGAAAGACTGGATGGTAGCAATGCTCATGAATATAGTGTAGTTGTTCGTGGTGGCACCATGATTTCATACGTCGTTATTCAGAGATCCCAGTATTGCAATGTTTTGCATACCATCCGATGAGTGCAAGGAGTGAGAGCGTGTGTTTGTTGCTGTCAACGGTCCTACACTGAGGCAGGTTCAGGTGTTGCCCATTGACAAAGCGCGCCATGGCCTCAATGGTCACGCTCTACAAATAATGTGACAAGATGACAAGATGTGACAGGAATATACAAAACCTGTTCAGCATATGGCAGTTTCGATCGTTTTTTCTTCAAAGTTTTGCAGCATCTGCGTGAAATCGTGTTGCAATCTGGCTCACAGGCAGAATTCACACCTGGGGGACCCTGGGAGCAATGTCATGGGGTGGAAAGAGCAAAAAGCGTGACCGCATACGCGTGAAGTTCGTACAGTGCAAACCGCAGATCGTGCCTTGCCTTCGTTTGCGCAACTAGCAACGGCCTTCTCGCATATATGTTGACACAAGTTGACAAATGGTAACCTTTGGAAGATCTCGCTGTCAAGACTGTGCAAAACAAGCTTGTTATGCCAAGTCCAATCAGAAGAATACAATGTTTTCTGTGGGCAGGAGGATGTCTTCCGATGATTCATTCCTGATCAATCCTGTTGCTATCTTTCTCCTGACGCCACTGACACCCGTAGGTTCGGGACACAATCAGGCTTGTTGGTTGGCGGGAATGTGATGCAGGTATCTCGGTCCGAAGTTATGAGATTTGTGATGATTTGTGCGAGAACAATCAAAGATTATCACAGGATATCAGAGGCAGATTCGTCGATTGGTAAGCTAAGATAGCTAAGGCCCTGGCTTAATTTGTTTGATTGTATAATCTTTCCGGCCGACTGTATCCATGCATGCACAGGGGCTGATTTCCCTTTGCAATTTGCCGGCCGCTTCTTTTGTGTCCAGTCTCAACATACAAGCACATTCGCAATGCTCTTAATTATTGATTGAATAGTTGTTTATTGTACATGTTCGCTTGCTTCCCAACTCCAAGGAACCCCAAGCTATCCCAAGCTTGAAGTGTTGTTTCTGAAGTGGATTCTCATTCCTTCCATCTCATTCCCCTTTTCAGATCTTTCCAGCTGTCCATAGGACCCCTTGCGATGTCACTCTGCTTAGGCGATGACAACTGGGACGTGGCTTGGGGAGACACGACTGCGGCTTTGTTCCGGGGAGTGCAGCAGTTGAAGCCTTTCCAACGAGTGAATCACTTTCCGTCACCTGGTCACAAAGCCCTGCTATGCACGTGGAAACCATTGGAAATTTGAAATTTGTGGCCCCATGCTGGTTTGACAATGACATGAAAGACTGATGAAAAGCTGTGAAGCCACATCAAGTCACATCAAGGCTGCAAGGCTGTTGTCCTTTCAGCGCTTTCAGCCCCACTTTTCTCAGGTTGATGCAGATTATTTGCCGAAAGGATCTTCTAGCGCAACATTTGCAGACCATTCGGCAGCTTTGCCCTCATGGAACTGAGGAGTTTAGCCGCTTGGCAGATGAAACCCGCGGCTAATATGCGGTTGATCCAGATGTCGTAAAAATACTGTAAGCAAAAGTTTTGCATGAATACTCAGGCTTCTTTCCAGAGACATGGGTTCTACCAGGCAGGGTGCCCCACAGATCATGTTCTGTCATTTCGTTCGGCATCGGTTGGTCCTCCAAGATCTCCAAGGGAGCTACGGAGCTGTTGGGCCGGTTGGGCAGCTTTCAGTCTCCGTGGCAGGTGATGTGCAGCGCTTTTGGGGCTTCGTGCGGCATAGCTTTGAACGACGATCAAAGGTGCCAGGGCTTAGTAGTGTTGAGTAGTCCTCACAGGGCATGGGTGTTTCATTCGGAGAATGCGACATGGAGAAATATGGCTATGGATCAATACCTATTAATACCATTTTTAGTGGGATGAACATCCATTTACCAGCTATTTTGATGTGTTGCCATTGGAGGAGGACAGGTTGCACAGCCGTGATCGCTCGAAGTCCAGAGGTCGACGGTCGCTCCGAGGTGCCTGGCAGATGTGTTGCGGTACAGCAAGTCTTTTGTCCATTCATGGCAGATAGTGTCAGATATTGATAGATATTGTGAATTAACATTGGCATACACTGGCAATTTAGTCTGGTTCTATGATCAGTTGTGGCAGAAATCCAGTACAGGCACTTCAGCAGACACTTCAGAAGACGAAGAGGAGGCAGCCACGTCTTGGGTCTTTGAGGCGTTTTAATCGGTGAAGAAAATTGTAGGGCCGGATAGCTGCTGCAAAATGCTGCTATCCTTTGTCAGGACAGTGTATTGACCTTCATTGCAAAGCCACGGGCTGCTGCTCGGGGCAACGGCATTTTCCTTTTTCAAGTCCGGGCGTCAGATGTCAGAGCGCCGCGCAACCGACTCAAGGAAGCATCTCAGCTGCAGAGTCTTGTTCGAATGGTGATGTGCCGGGGAGTGTCTCAATAACTAAGACACATTAAGAAACTAAGTCTCTAAATGTCTCTAAGTCCTCTAGACTCTAGACATCTCTAGACCATCTTTAGGCATCAGGCATCATCAGGCCACTACCCCAGCCTTGCAGCAAGTGTGTTGAATCCACTGCAGTCGTCCAAGTGCCCAAGGGGCTTGTGTTTCTTGCGTGTCTCATTACCGAGCCGAAAGCTTTGGCAGCAGATTGGTTGGTGCCTTTTTGTTTCATTTTGATCCATTTTGATCCATTTTGTTGGTCATGCTTCAGACATCGCACGGCTCTTGAGGTTTTGGACTCGGAGAAGTTGGTGGTGCAAAGCTTCTTGAGCAAACCTTTGCTGATCGATGGCTACAAGTGGGACATGAGGGCACGAAACTCAGACGGGAAGTCCGAAGGAAGATCGGAACAAGTCAGAACAAGTCAGAACAAGTAGGACTGGATAGGACTGGCATAGCTTGGCCAATCGGACCCCAATCGGAACCCAATTGGATCCAATTGGACTGAAAGCTGCTGAAAGCTCTTGCTGCAGACTGACCTTCAAACTGACCCTGCAGATCCGTGCAGATCCGTGCAGGTGTACGTGCTGGTGACTGACGTCCATCCCCTGACGGTCTATCTCTACACTGATGGCCTGGCCCGATTCTGCACGGATCTCTATGAAGCGCCAGATGAAGACAACCTGGACATGCGGGAGATGCACCTCACCAACTTCTCGATCAACTGGGAAAGTGAGGCTTTCGAACCTGGACTTCTGTTCCCAACCGCGCCATTACTATCATTACTGTACTTGGTTATACAGTTATTGTATACATAGTGTCACATAGATATACATACGTAGCTATACTAGATTTAGATCGCTGTGCACAAGGATCCTTGCTCCTTGCAACCATCGATGTAATCTCAGAACAAACGAAAAACCTCTATACATCTCGATCTCTATGCCATGATAGTCGATAGCCATGATCCATGGCTATCCATGGCTTCTGTCCTGTGCTGTTGCATGATATCGCATGGGATTCGTGGCCATGTGTGGCCCTTGTCGCCAGTGGACACAGTCACCGAGGAAGACACTGAGGATGGAGCCACTGGCAGCAAGCGATCCTTACGGACGGTCTTGGAATCTGTCGAGGGTGGTACAGACCTCAAGCCTTAATCATTTTTAATCTTCCTAATCTGAAGCAGTTCAAAATGTTCAAAATGTTCAAACTTGAGCCATGCCCGGCACCGCCGCAGTATCAATGTATATCATCAGCTGTGCATCCGAGGCGACAACATTTGGCTTGAGATTGCTGAATGTGTCAAGAAGACCCTGCTGGCCATTGGCCCAAAGATGCAGGTGCCGGCTTCTGCAACTTTGGCATGCTAAGATGCAGGTGCTTTAGCAAATTTGCCCAAATTTATTGATCTTGTTTCCTTTCTGCCGAGCTCTGCGAGGATAATTATGATCGGTACTTTGGCCGCTCACGTGATGGTGGTGGAAGTGTGACATGGCTGCAATCGGAAGTGGGATATGTGATGTAGATTGAGGCTGGTGGATTGAGAAAGTGATCCAAACGAATGATACTCTTACAAGTGTCGCACGTCATGGAACAAGCAGAAGCTCATGAGCTATGAGGAAACTCTTTCAACCAAGTTTAGAGACCACCCTTGAGGAGCTGCAAGGACTTTTGTCCTTTTGTTCTGGGGCCGACGCGAGGCTTGTTTTGAGCTGCTGGGCTTTGATTTCATCTTGGACGAGGAGCAAAGGCTTGAAGATAGCCAAGACATAGATTTGGCATCATTCGGCATGGCAACTGAATTGGCAAACGGGTTTGGCTTAATTCTTGAGGGTGTTTCCGGCGAAGTTTCCCCTGTCCATTGCGTCTGGGTCTGGGTCAAATGGGCAGGCTCTTCCTCTTAGAGGTGAATTCGGCGCCGTCATTGTCCACTCCAACGAATTTGGATGAGGAGATCAAGGAAAGCGTTCTGACGGAGGCTGTGATTCAATGGCATATCTGAAAGGGTGAAGTGGCAGGAGGGGATGACGAACGGATTTGCATTTTACATTTCTTGTAAAATATACCTTATGAACATCTTGAGCCGACTTCAAGTGAGGAGAGTGCCGTGAGAGGTGTGATTTCTTGTGATTTCTTCAACCTATCTTTTCATCGCTTTTTCGTTCCGTTTTCCATGGTTTTCCGTGGGTTCTCCGTAGGTTTTCCGTTCTTGGTTGCTGCCATATGCCATATCTTGTGGTCAGGGCTTCCGCCTCTTGGGCCTGGATGGATCCGAGAAGGCAGTCTTACTATGTACCTGTAGGACCTGTAGGGCCTACTGGATGTATCTGGATCCTACTGAGGGTCCTACTGGATGTTGGATAATGTGAAAAGATGTGAAAAGATGTGAAAAGATGTGAAAAGTAGGAACCGTCTGTGACATTCTGTGAGAAGGATGGTGTGCTCCAGATGTGAGTTTCTGAGAACTTGTCAGAACTTGTAGAAAAAGCATGGAAAAGACAGAACAAAGAAAGTCCTTGTTCATTTCTTGTTCTCCAAAAGTGTCCTATCTTCGAGTGCTCGATGCTGCCAGGCCAAGCATCTGGAGAGACAGCAGCAGCGCTTGGCAGACCGCCGAAACGAACACTTGGCAAGACGGTAGGAGCTCACTTTGCTCACTTTCAATCACCTTCAGCTTCCATCATTGTGCATCATTTTCATTGACTTTCATTGATTTTCATTCATTTCAATTCATTTTCCATATCTTATCGTTACGACGTACTGTAATCATCCTACTCGTTAGCCAATCGTTAATCTTTAATCTCTAGGAAACTGAAGCGTTTTGTAGCGTCTTGCAGCGTCGCTAGCTGTTCCAACAGCCTAGAATTCTTCTATATGCTATTTCGTACGGCATATATTGAGCAGATGATGAGTATAAATGATGTGAAGTGTGTGTCAGTGTGTGTATATATATATATATATATATACACAAAACATATATGTATATATACAACATAAATAAATAAATAAACATAAATACATAAATAAATAAATAAATAAATAAATCAATATATATATATATCTATTATATAATATACACTATATATACTTATTATATTGCAGATATATTATCAGGGAATCAGCGCTCGCTTCAGGAGCTGACGAGGCAGAAAGAGGATCACTTGAGGAGCTGCACAACATGCGTGCGTCGCGTGTGTCATGTGGAGCTCGGTGGAACTGAACGGAGCAGCTGCGCAAGATTTGGCTCCAAAAGCACAGCATCGGCGATCGGGTCCATGCTCACAACATCTCACAACTTGGATCTGACTTGGATTGTGGAATATTATGGAATATTATGGAATATTTGTCAATTGCATTGCTTTCTGGGACATGCATCCGGGGGTCAACCATGATCAACCGACCTAGTGACTTAGTGGCTTGATCCTTACCCATAGTGACTCGAAGTGAAGCCACAAGGTCATGGTTGCCAAAATAGTTGACAATCAAATAAAATCAACGTGCGTGTTGAAAGTTGAAATGGTGTTTTGACACGTTCAAGCTTTTTGTCATCTCTCTCCAGTCAGCAAGAGTGACTTCAATTTGATGATGCCATGATATCCATGATATGGCCATGGCCAGGGCCATGGTGGCCATGGTGCCCAGTCTACAGGCGATTTGTTTGGAGACTTTGGCCCGAGCTCTTTGGAGAGGCGACGACGTGGACCTACAGCGCCTTCCTGAGCTCATCGCCGTGCAACTTCTGAGGTTCGTCCTGGCCGTGGACGACGGAAGGCTGGGACGGGCCCTGGCCGTTTGGTCGCGGAGACGGCCTCCGTTTCACCTGCGAATCGCAGGGCCAGAGATGTGCCGCAGCCTGTCCTTTCTTCCGAACCAGGCCCTGATTGAAGTGTTTCTGAGCCATATGCCTGAATTGACTGACTCTCAGTTGTCACGTTTACTTCTCAAATCCTGTCAGAATATGAGCCTGAAAATCTTGCAGCTTCAAGATTGTCCACTCTTGATGGGCCAATTTATTGCTGACATCTCCCAGTCTTCCCCACCAGAACGAGACCGTCATTGCAACGATTGTTGTGCTGCCGTTGCACAGGATTGTTGGATGATTTTGTTTGTCGAGGCTTGCCTCCGCTGCACTTGACTCATTTAAGCCTTTCTGGTTCCGTGCACCTCACCGATGCTGTTGTGTCCTGTGTTTCAGGGGGGGTTGCACCAGCTCCCTTGCCACAACTTGGCATGCAATTGGAACACTTGGACCTATCTCAGACGAAAGTGTCAGATCAAGGGGTGTCAACTCTGGTGCGTTTGCCATCGGTTTCTGTATTAATGCTCTCAAGGACGACCTCTGTAACATCGCAATGCCTTCGGCAGCTGTCAACTGCTTTGGGTCTTCGCGCCCTGCTGCCAGACCGCCCCAGGGTGTTCCTGCGGAACTTTCGCGCAGCTCAGACTCTCAGTGCCCTCAGTGAGGTGACAGCTCCAGTCTTGGAAGCAAACAAACTGCTGCCAGCGCTTCAGAGTGGAGAAGCTTGGTCCGAAGAAGCCATCCGCCATGCTGTGGCCGTCCTCCATTTGACAACTGTGGATGTGAACAAGGAGCAGGTAGGACCCGGGTCAATAAAGCGACCAACTGGTGAGTTTGGGTTCAATCCGCCCGGCTGGAAGAGACTGCGCGGCGAGAGAAAAAAATGTGATTTTGACATTTCTCAACGAAAATTATACGCCCACTCCACGGTGAGAATAACACACACACAGATGGATATATATATATATATACATGCAATCATATACATATATACACATAATTACTATATAATTGCCTATGCTCTATACATTAAACTTTAAACGCTATTTTTGCAGAGTCCTTTGGGCCCTAATGTTGTTCAAGAGCTTCATTGTGCACGTCTATTTGCTTGTTTCACATTCTGGCTGGGGTGTCCATCTGAGAAAAGTCAACCATGTAAAACAGATCATTGCAATTTTTTGTCGAAACTTGCAGAAACCACTTCGCAGATATTCCATTGCAGGAGCAGCGTAGGCTTTCTGAGTTCCTTGGGTCAGAGGAAGCTGCCTCAGATTTTCTCTGCCCGACAGTCTACGCAAAGAAATGCGGAGGAGATGATTTCTGTTCTTTTCTTCTGGTTTTGGTTTAGCACGATCAGACTGCAGTTGAACTCTGTGCCTTTCACCGTGATTTGTGCGATATTATGAAGGCAGCATGGACATCAGTTTCGTCGTCCATGCAGGACACTTCTCCCACGATAAAAGCAGAAACACATGAGCCCACAAAAGGAGTCAGAAGCCTACAGACCGAGTCAAGGTGATCACTGTCCAAGAACGTTGAACGTGTTGAAAACATGTTGAAAACATGTTGAAACCGAACTTTTCCTCGTAGATTTGTCGTTTTGCCCTGAAGGGTGCACAAGCACCCGTAGGAATCCGTAGATTCGGCACCGCTGGGATGATGTCCCAGTTCCATCCTACAGTAATTCCTCGGTCATTGGAGTTTGACGATGTTTGACGGTCAATGTCTATCACATTCTATCGCCATATTATGATAATATCATGCCCATATGGATCCATACGTTGCATGTTTCTCATAGTGCCCTGTCACTTGTGGCCGAGGTGAAGAGCATCCCTGGCTTTGTGAGTTTCTTGGAGGACTCCGAGGATGAAACAGAGACGGAGAGCGAGCAGAGCGAGGAGAGACACTGTTGTTACGATTTGTTACGTGCAAACACCACAAACATCAAGAAACCATAAGTTAGCCATAAACCCAAGTGGTTGCGGATGTTGTTGCCACAGACGTTGTGTGCATGTGAGATTACCTGAGCATCCACTTCTTTCTGACAAATCAGCGATTTTCAATTCGTTGTGACTATTAAATAGTCAATTACATGTGTTTCTGAGTCTGCACGGCTGCCGTCGCATCAACATGAGATAACATGAGATCAACATGACATGAGAACATGGGGCCACTGAGGAGGGCTGGACAGACGAGGATGATGAGCAAGAGGAAGATGAGGAAGTTTGCGAGGAATTCAGCTTCCTGGGCACTCCAGTGAGCATCATGGCCGCAAATTCTCTTAGACTCTTGGGTCGTCTTGGGTCGTCCGGCAATGTCGAACTGGTTTCAGAGTGTGGCCGCCGGGCCCAGCAAGGTAGGAACTATGTGCAGATCTTGCCCGTCTCCGAGAGTGTTGAAGGAATTTGGCAGGAGCCTGCATGTTTTTCCGCCGGTCTCACAATATCTGGCAATATCTCACAAGGTCGCACAGGTTTTCAGCATCACACGCTCGCTGCAGCTGTGAGGAGATCCAGGCAGGAGCCGCCAAACTAGCACAAGGCCGGCAACCACATGGAATATCATGGAATCACAAACATATCAAACATCACATCAAATCACAGACCAGCAATGACAGTTTATAAGTCATTAAATATATTTAAAAATCATGTTATATCAGGTATATATCAGGTATATCGTTGAAGGTGATGCTCTAATGATCTACAAAGATCCCCTGTGAAGGCTGGACGGCAGCGCGGCCTCAGAGCCAACCGCCTCGGACAAGTCTGTCCACACCGGCAGGCGACACGTGGGTCCCACCGTGGGTCCCACCGTGGGTCCCAGCGACAACGGAATGGAAGACATTGGAAGACGCCCGGTTTCAGAATTGTTTTGGGTAAATGAATGACAAAAAATGACAAAAAGATATGAGAGAGAATAGAGACTTAGAGAGATGCCAAAGAAGTCAAAGGTCGTTGTCACGGCTTTCAGATTCTTTCAGCTTTGGGGCTTTGACCTTCGCCTCGGGGTTGGTCGCTGACAGGCAAACGTAGCTCCGTCTCGCGGCCTTCTTTGAAGATGGTTTTGCAGGGGCGGCCGTCTTACAGTACTTGAAGCATCTTGAAGCCATTTTTTATCAGTCAGAGTTGAGTTGCACATCTCCTCTGAATAGATGACTTCAAAGGCCGAAGAAGAACCCATTGTCCCAACCACAGATGCTGCTGCAGATCCTTGTCTCCATTCATGGCATTGTTGTCGAATCCGGTTAGTAAAGTTGACGGAAGCATGCCTTGATAAAAGTGAACATCCTGCGCTAAGGCGTATGAGGTCGAAGGAACTGAGGGAAGTGCTTCCCTTGAAAACAATCCAAATTGGTGTCTAGTTCTAGCTGTCTGGGCTTCTGCCTGGTTTTGCTCTTTGGAGCTCATGCTCATGGCATCCCTCTGTGGTAACCAACAAGATCAGATCTGGGAATGATGATGGTGCTGTGAGAGGAAATGGGTATATACCCTAGAAATCTGCCATGATCGAGCAGTGCCAGAAAATTCCTGCGGATCACTCAGTGACACATACTTTCATTTATAGATTCATGAGGGGAGTCTTTCTACCTCAACTTTGTCAAAGTTTTTCCCATTTTTGGTGCTGCTCACTTGTTAGTGACCCCCTGCTTAGCGCATCTTAGCGCATTGTTCTCCTGTGCAGAACCAACGCCGTGCGCAGTGGTGCGTGTGGCAGATCTCCTTAACGGTGTCCTTTTGAATTCTCAAGAAGACATGGCAGTGGGCTAATGGGGCTATATTTTGCCATGTTTGTCCTAATTTTATTCTTATTTTTTACGCATTCCTTGGTGGCCCTGGTGGTGCTTTCCAACCTCCTGGCAGCTTTGGAACTTGGGAACTTGATCATGTTCTGTTTTATTGAACTGAAGACATTTCCAACAATTTCTTGGAAATTGAAGTTGAAGCCAAACAGCATGGCATTTGTATGCATTTGTTGTACCGCCATGTTATGCAAAGATGATTTATTCACGGCAATTAGACAATTAATTTCACAATCAAAGACCGCTCTGCACAAGATCACAACTGCCCTCTTCGCATGGTCCTCTAAAAGAGACCTTGAGCCATCGACTGTGGCGCCTTTGGTGCCCAATGCCCGATGACCCAATCGCCGTGGGTGATTGGGCATGGGGTGCCATGAAAATCCATGAAATCGCTGCGCCGCTGCGCCCTCGGAATCTGAGATGCCAAATGACTCAAATGACCAAACTGAAATATCAAATGAATTCAAATGACCAAATGCCAGCAGCAAGGAGCTTCAAGAGTTTCTTTGCCGGGTAGCGTGCTGGCATCTTTGTGTGCAAAGTCATTGGCGGGCCTTAGGGGGCCAACCGTATGATTTGATTTGGATCGTTGAAGAGCGTCATGTGCTGGTGTGTGTAGATTGTGACCTGCACATTTCAGAGCCATGTCGAAAGACTATGGCTCTCTTCTCGGCGCGACGACAAAAAAGGGAATTCGCACTCGCCTTGAACCATGGACGACCGATTCTAATTCACTGTAACATGGTCTTTACAGAACATTCACAACATCGCAAGGGTCGCAACATGTCGCAACATTAGGCACCCTAACTGCCCCCAACAGATTGGTTTCCTGAGAGACGCACAGCTTGAGGGAATACTGCAGGTGCAGGCAATGATGCGCGCGCAGCATTGGAGGCAGCGGCCAAACAACACTTGTCAGGGGTGGGGCCCCCAGGTTCAACAGCTGCTTCAGCCAAGCCGCACGCGGGAAGAATGACCAAACAGATAGGAACAGCATGGGCCAGAGATGGCCAGAGATGGCTAGGATTGGAAGATATCAGGATCTTCAAGGATTGATTCAAGATGATTCAAGGATTACTCAAAGGTTCTTAAAGGATGCAGGCAGGATGAAGGCTCTGCCCTTGAGCACAAATGCAAGTGCTCAGCAATTTGCTGAATGCGCCCACGCGTGTCCACCGTGTCGAGGCAAAATTCAAGAAATTGTCCGCCCACACGGAGGCAGATCGATGCCATATGGGCCGCATGTGGGATTGGGGTTTGGTTTGATCTATTTTGATCTTGTTTTCATCTTGTTTGGTATTGTGAGAAATGGATAGAAATGGCTGGACGTGCCAGGTGGCAGACAATCTGAATGATGACCCTGCACTATGGCTCAGTATCTCTTGCAGCTATGTTGCTGATGTTTGCAGACTTAATGGATCTTAATGGACACATTTTGAGACTAGTTGATGTACTTGATATCCAGACATCTTCAATTTCTTCATGGTTCGTTTTCCTGAGACCACTCCGTACATCTACTTTGAGATCCCTGGTGACCTGACTGCAAAAGGACCGACGCCAAGTAGAAGGTCATTTTGACATCAAGACAAAACATTTGCCATCATTTTGCCATTATGCAGCTGCATGGTGAGCAGGACGCCAAATCGAGCGGTTCTTATATGTTCGGATCTCAAGAATCGATTTTCTCTTTCCTTGCGGTGATGGGATGGATACATTAGAGTATATTAGTAATATATTAGAGTAAATGCACCACCAGCATGTATGCATTACGCATCATGGAGAATCGATTCGAACTGCAAAAGAGTGCAGGTAATTTTAAAGCATAATTCATGATCAGATTAAAACAATTATATATATGTCAGACACACACAGGGAGACAGAACGAGAGATATATACTTATTAATCTTATTATATTGTATTTTCTATTGTATCATATTATATCATACTATATTATATTACATTAATTATATTAATATTGAACTATGTTATATTATATTATATGTAATGTCATAGTATATACATTATATTATAATTATATTGTATTGTATTATATTGTTTTCTATTTTCTTGTATTATGTGTTAAAAAAACACTTTATTCAATATTATTATCCAAATTATTCTACATTCTACATTTTTTTTTAAAATAATAGTACTATTATAGTAATGTTGTATCATATTGCATTATATTGTAATTTTGTTTTTCAACTTGAGTTATATTATTGAAAACCAGTAGTAGTACCGCACAAGGCGGTGGCGGAAGTTTCAAAAATAGGAAACCTATAGGAGAGGTTGATTGTTGTGAATCAGGGATGGCAGAGCGAAGCCACTGATGGACTGACAGGTGCTTGATGTCTCCTCTCTTTCTCTCTCTTTCTCTCTTTTTCTCTCTGTTTCTCTATCTTTGTCTGATTATCTACCTACCTACCTACTGATCTATCTGTCTACCTATCTATCTGTCTGTCTATCTATCTATCCCCCTATCTATCTATCTATCTATCTATCTATCTATCTATCTATCTATCTATCTATCTATCTATCTATCTATCTATCTATCTATCTATCTATCTATCTACTTATCTACCTATCTATCTAGCTCTCTAGCTCTCTAGTTTTCTAGCTATTTGTCTATCTATCTATCTATCTATCTACCTATCTGCCTATCTACCTATCTACCTATCTACCTATCTATCTATCTATCTGTCTGTCTATCTATCTATCTACCTATCTATCTATCTAACTATGTATCTATCTATCTATCTATCAATCTATCTATCTATCTATCTATCTATCTATTTAGCTCTCTGTCTGTCTGTCTGTCTATCTACCTGTCTATCTGCAACCTTGAAGACCAAGCTATTCTGCGAGATGTCTTCATTTTTGAAAGTTGACAACATCAAAAACGAAGCAATTCTGCGAGACTTCCTCAATGTTTGAACTTAACAACCTCAAAAACGAAGCAATTCTGCGAGACCTCTTCATTTTTCAAAGTTGACAACGTAAAAAACGCAGCAATTCATCGAGACTTCCTTTTTGCATTTGACAACATCAAAATCAAAGCAATTCTGCGAGACTTCCTTCAAAAATGGAAAGTTGAGTGCAGCGCTGACAGCCTCGTACCAATGCGTTTTGCGATTTTTCCACTCCACCTGTCTAAAGTACTGCGCCTGCCACGAAAAATTGATGCCAGGTCATACGAAGTGCTGGACCTGTCACGCAAAATCATCTTAGCAAACCTACAGATCTGATGCTCCAAAATGCAATCCCTCTCAGGAAATCAGCGCCCTGACCTCCTAACATCTCTCATGAACATGTCTTTTGTATTGCGCCTACCACGGAAAATGCATCTTTGCAGGTCCTCTTCAAATGTCCCACGCCTGCCATCGTTTTTGGAAATGCCACGAAACCCTCACGTTTTGCTCACTTTTGACAAAAGGTGCACAATCCCTTGCGCTTGCCACGCGAAACGAGCTCTGAACGTCCAAAAGTGGTCCGACAATGGTGTGTTTTGTACATGTTGACTTCGAAATGTGCTTCACGCCACAACGGCGTGCACTTTTTCGACATCTCAACTTCCAAAAGTGGTCCGACAATGGTGTGTTTTGTACATTTTGACTTCGAAATGTGCTTCGCGCCACAACGGCGTGCACTTTTTTGACATCTCAACTTCCAAAAGTGGTCCGAGCAGGGTGTGTTTTGTACATTTTGACTTCGAAATGTGCTTCGCGCCACAACGGCGTGCACTTTTTCGACATCGCAACTTCCAAAAGTGGTCCGACAATGGTGTGTTTTATACATTTTGACTTGGAAACGTGCTTCGCGCCACAACGAAGTGCAATTTTTCATCTCTCGTCATCTGGCCAGCTGGCTCCGTACCCGCCGCTTTAGCGAGCCTACTTTTCGACCCTCCGGAGCCTCAAGTCATTGGAAAAACACAGCGTTTCGCGACTTTCCTACCTTTTCGTGCATCTGCATCTGCTTTCTTCTGACTCTTTCTCTTCTACTCTTCTCTCTTCTAATCTTTCTCTTCTCTCTGCCTCTGCCCTGCTCTGCTTTTCATCTGTCCATATTGTCGGAAGTTTGACTTCTAAACTTCCTTCGGTTATATGGTATTATTAAAGTATTTGATATTGTATAATTATATTGTATTTGACTATCTATTTGATTGTTTTATCGTTTTCTATTCTAGTATGTAATGTAATGTTATGTTTTGTTATGTTAAATTGTTTTTTCATGCAGTATAGTATAATGTGATATATAGAGCACACACACAGATTGGTAGAGAAAAAGGCAGGATAGATGTAGATATTGAATATATGTATATATATATATACACACACACAATAGTCAATCTCGAAATCTTCAATGGATTTCCTTCGAGGCTGCTGTGCCTGGAGCAGGGCCGTGAGCCCGGCAGCGTTGAAACGGTGGATGTTTCCTGGAGACAAAACATTACAATTGAAAACCATTTAAACATATTCAAACCATGAATCGACGGAAGATGATGTGATCGAACATGGGGGAACTCCAACAACTGAACATGTGGGGTCCCTGCCAGCAGAGCGTAAACGACGCCAGGCGGATTCCCATCGACTTTGGCAGACAGGTGGGTGTACGACACTGGGGCAGCTCAGCCACACAAGCGCTCAAAAACTCAATCCAGAAGGTCACTCCATGCGCTAGGTCCTTAGGCTCTTGGGACTCACATGTTATATACTCGGTATCTATCTACCTATCTATCTATCTATCTATATATCTATCTATCTATCTATCTATCTATCTATCTATCTATCTATCTATCTATCTATCTATCGATCCATCCATCTATCGATCGATCCATCCATCCATCCATCCACGCATGCATGCATGCTGCATGCATGCATGCATGCATGCATGCATGCATGCATGCATGCATGCATGCATGCATATGTACATGCTTACTACACACATACATTCATTTTGGATGCATGCATACATACATACATGCATACATACATACGTACGTACATACATGCATGCATATATGCGCATGTATTTTCATGCTGCTGCGAAGGTCGGTGCGGCAGGGCAGTGAATTCTGTCCATGGTCAATCAGTCATGACCAATGTAGTCGCCAAAACACACACACACATATTTATGTATACATATATACGTATGTCATATCTATCATTACCTTCATTACCTTTCATTTGGCGGCCGTATGTTCTTGCCTTTGTACCAGACGCTCAAGACCACCCAGGGTCCAAGCAGCTACCATGCCCAATCCTTAGGGTTACAATGGTTGGCGCAGGTGGCTTGTCAACTGCTGGGCTGCGACGACAAGGTGTCACCGTTCCGTTTATTCCATGTTCGATCATGAACCATATGATGAACGGATACCGACAGCTTCTCTAGTGATACATGGATACGAAACACGCTGGTTTCTAGAAAGCCTTAAGACATTTGCCGGTATCTGGCCCATACCTTACAAAGAAAAATTGACACACACACACACGTATATATATATATATATTATATATAGCATATAACGCCGTCCAAAAGAAAACAGTGAACAAGATTTTGCCAGACTGTTAGGATAGTGGAAGAATGTGGAAGGCCGTTTATTCTAGACTGGAATGCAACATGTAGTCTGTAGGCTCATAGAATCTCTTAGACCTCAAGCAATCCATTGCTGGAAAACCAGTTGCTGTTGGCATGTTCGTTGGCCCTGAGATGTGGGGTGATCACATACGTCACTCACATCACTCAATCGAGAGGGTGCTGTGCCAGGTGGATTGGCGACAATGCCAAGATTCCAAGGAGGGTGAAAAGCGACATCCTCAGAACATCTCAGAAGCTGCGCAAGTTCTTTCTGTTTTGTTAATTTGATTTCTTTCCAGGCAATGCCAGAATCCTTGAGTGCATTTTCTCATTTTTGCGGCAACCTGTGGGTGCGGCAGGAAGCTGGCAGTGACACTTCGGGAGCTCTTCAAGCCTTTCCAAGTGAAAGGTAAACCGAAGCCGAAATCAGGGTAGACCTTGGCAGGAAAGGAGCCTGGTGTAGCCTGGTCAGAATGTAAGCGGCTAAGCACCGGCTTTGAGACGAAAAGCTCTCCAGGCAAAGTCCTTTCTTGTGTTCCCCGTCAGGCATGTGACGTCAGTGGCGTGGGAAAAAGGCCCCAAGGCATTGTGATGTTTGTTATGATTGTGGCCGGCTTTTTTGGCATAGCTTAGCATATAGCTTACCATTAGCTTACCATATTGCCATGTGCTTCATTTTGCTTAGTGCAATTTTATCCAAGCAAGCTTGTTATGTGTCTCAGTCGCAGATTTGGCTTGGAAAAGTTTCGGCTGTCCCTTTGAGCTTTCGCGCACGACCATGGCGATGTGGCCTGCTTGGTGCCCGAGATTTTTTCTGTTCGTCCACTGCTGGAGACATGACAACGGATCCTTTTCACATAGAAGATCTGCAGGATCATGTATTTTGAATCATGTTGATTCGGCTTTTGATATTGTAGGGCTTCGCGCGCCGGTGATGCCCACAGGGTTGTGGTTGTTGTTGTGGTGGTGGTGGTGGTCGTGGTCGTCGTCGTCGTTCCCCACATCTTTGTGTGGGGTTCTTGTTTTTGATTCTGTATCCCGGCTCCTCCGCCGCTCCTCCTCCTCCTCCTTCTCCGCCAGCTCCTCTTTGTCAACCACCATCTTTCACACACATCTTTGTCACACACCATCTCTCACACCCATCTTTCACACACATCTTTGTCACACACACCATCTTTCACCCACAACTTTGTCACACACACCATCTTTCACCCACAACTTTGCCACACCATCTTTCACACACAACTTTGTCACACACTCTCTTTCACACACAATCTTTCACACACAGCTTTGTCACCCACCATCTTTCACACACATCTCTGTCAACCACCATCTTTCACACACATCTTTGCCACACACCATCTTTCACACACAATCTTTCACACACAACTTTGTCACCCACCATCTTTCACACACAACTTTGTCACCCACCATCTTTCACACACATCTTTGTCACCCACCATCTTTCACACACACACACACATCTTTGTCACCCATCATCTTTCACACACCATCTTTCACAGGCACTTTGAGTGGCAGGCGTGGCACTTATGGCACTGGGCTGGCTATGGTGGCGCGCTTGGACTGGATTAGTCGCACTTGGCGTGGCAGGACTACAACTACAACTACATTACCTTACACTAGGCTACACTACACTATCCCACACTACGCTATACAACACTACACGACATGACGCTGCACTACACTACGCTAATTACACCACACCACGACTACAACTGTAACTGCACTTGCAAACACACTACTTACACTACATTACAGCCACAGTCCCACTACATTACAACTACAGCTACAACTGCAACTACAACTACAACTGCACTACACCACACTACATCCAGCAGTTGTGGATGAGGTGACCGACCAGGTGACCACTGCAACCATTGCAACCATTCCAAAAAACACAGCTCCAACCACCTTTCGGTCCATCAGTGGATTCTCTCTGCCATCCGTGATTCACAACAACCAATCTCTCCTATAGGTTTCCTATTTTGAAACTTCTGCCGCCGCCTTGTGCGGTACTACTGGTACAGTATCATGCAAGCCTATTCTTGAACACTGCATTGCTGCTCGCTTGTTCGATCCTACTTTTCGTTTACAGTACAGCCTGCTCAAGCGGACGGAAGCACTGCATGGCATCGGACGGTAGTTTTTCGAGATCGTGATGCTTTTGGGTGCAGGCTTAAATCAGGCAAGACGCTCCGGGCGCGCAAGCAATCTGCAGAGTTTGCTAAGGCAAGAAGCAGTGCAAATTCCAGATTGGACATGATGTAAGGGCCTTTGAGTGGGTTGTTATTTGGGAAAAGGAAGAAAAGGTCAAAATCATGGCATCCTACAGGGTACCGGAAGGGCAACTGGAACATACTGCAAGCAACTGTGTTGGGGTATTTGCCTGTCATCGGGTGTAGATTTGACATGATTTTGATTAATCTTGCCATGCTCGAAGGCCAGCACAGACTTCAAGAAAGAGATCGCGGAAGACTTTGGAGATCCTGGCAAGACTTCACGAACATGTCACAGTCGGGGGCTGAGGCAAACCTTCAGATGCACTTGTATTAGTTGGCCTGCGGCACGTAAACGGCCGCACAGTTTTGTAGTTTTTTTTTTTTTCCCGAGAGCGCCTGCAAAGGGTTCTTCGCAAAAAAGCAGCCGTTATAAGTTATAATACATCTTCACACCTTCGCATCTGCTGATCTACATCTTCACACCCTCACATCTGCTGATCTACATCTTCACACCCTCACATCTGCTGATCTACATCTTCACACCCTCACACCTGCTGATCTACATCTTCACACCTTCACATCTGCTGATCTACATCTTCACACCTTCACATCTGCTGATCTACATCTTCACACCCTCACATCTGCTGATCTACATCTTCACACCCTCACATCTGCAGACCTACATCTTCACACCTTCACATCTGCTGATCTACATCTTCACACCCTCACATCTGCAGATCTACATCTTCACACCTTTGCATCTGCTGAACTACATCTTCACAGACGGTTTTATCGTTTGATAGTTAGATAGAGAGATAGTTGGACAGATAGACAGGCAGACAGATAGACAGATAGACAGATAGATAGAGAGACGGTTTGATCGATAGATAGT